CAGAGGAAGAAGTATTAAGATACATTTACTGGATAATAAGGGTATTGATTTAGAAAATAGTAAATGCATATTACACTGGTCAGATTTAATTATATAGACATGTGTGTGTGTTTCTTTAGATTTTCTGGATTAATGTTACATAAATTTGAAGACATCTGGGCGTGTGGAAGGAAGCATTTCCCCACACATCTAGCTTTTTTCATGATTCGGTGGTAGAATAAAATATCTCTATGTTGTGTCTCAAAAAGCCAAATAGAGGGGCCAGAATGATAGTAGAGCGGGTAGGGCGTTTGCTAAAATACTCAGGAAGAAGTGTACAGTTTAGGTTTTTTGGGTAATAATAGACCCAAAACAAAGTTAAAAATCATTTTTATTTCTTTTTGGGTCACACCCGGCTATGCTCAGGGGTTAAACCTGGCTTCGCACTCAGGAATTACCCCTGGCGGTGTTCGGGGGACCATATGGGATGCTGGGAATCGAACCCAGATTGGCCGTGTGCAAGGGAAATGCCCTACCCGCTGTGCTATCGCTCCAGTCCCTAATAAATCATTTCTATTAGAAATTTATTATGCATGAGTACTTAAATAATGGAAAAAGTTAAATGACCAATGTGTAAATTCAAAAAGACAGCAGCGGTTCTATCTCTTCTGCCACCTGCTTTCGGTAATCTCGGGTCGCATCCCCCACCCCAGGGAGGTTGATTCAAATGGGCAGGTGAAGGATGGAACGAGGGCCAGGTTGGTTAGTGTCAGTTGCAGTTTATTCCAATCCTCTCTCCATTCACTCCTGTTTCTCCTCTCCTTCCCCTCCTGCTTCTTCCTCCCCCATGCTACCTCATTCTCCTTCTGGCTCTGGAATCTGGATTCCCTTTTATCTTCTGCCTCTGGACTCTGGCTTCTGGATCTTGATCCCCTAGCCCACTCTTACAGTCTAGTTAAATCCCCCTGCATGTAGGGTTGGGGCTTACATATAGGTGTGGTCACAATCAATAGGGGAAAAGTTCTTTCCCTCAGGGGGTACTTCTAGGACAGATACCCTCTCAGCAGGACGACCCACCCAAGAGTGGAATCCCGTGGGTGTGTTTCTCCTCTCCTTGTCAAACAAACATATAAGCATTCATAATATTAATCATTCTGTATGGACACAATAAGAGATACATTAAGCTTATAGAATTGCTTTCCTGGGGTCATCTCGATCTCAGACTGCAGTGCTCAGACCAGATTAGTCTTTCCTATCCCTAGCAGGGTCCTAATCTCGTCGTTACTTTTGGATCATGACAGCATTTCTCCATGATCAAGCTCTTAACTTGTTAAGAATCTTGTTAAGAATCGTGGCGCCCGGGAGTGTGGGGGCGACTAAAACCTCATGGGAAGGGGGGGCGTTTCGCTCCGCCCTTCACACCCTACCGAGGCCACCGGTTGCCCCCCCGCGAGCGGCTCTCCAGCACGGCCACGACTCCAGAACACAGAAACCAATTTCTTAACTATCTGACTTTCAGTAGAAATACTTCCAGGGTCAATAGGTAAAATAGCAGAAATCCAAAACCAACATTTAATTCTTGAACCCAGCTGTAGAAAGCAAATCACTTCACAATGCTTTTTCAGCATGTCTGATTTGGGGGGGGGGAGTAAACTCTAAATAATAGTGGTGAATCTTTTATTGAAACAATGAATCTAATCAAAGCAGATAGAGTGTTAACTAGAATTCATCTGCCTCACAGGGACGGGGAGGGGTGGGGGGTGGGGTTTTATTGGGGTTCTTCATGGTAAAAAATAAGTATTGGTAAAGGGAAATGTGTTTGATATTTGCATGACTGAGACATAAACCTGAAAGCTTTGTAACCTTTCCCACAGTGATTCAATAAATAAATAAAAAAAATAAAATAAAATAAAAAATAAAAAAATTTAAAAAAAAAAAGAATCGTGGCGCTTTGGCCTGGCCCAGTGCCCTGCTTGCCCTGGGTCCATTCAGTCCCTCGTCGGGACCTTGCTTTTGGGGTGCTAGGAACTAAGGGCAACTGAGGCTTAAGTCGAGAAAACAGATGCCCGAGAGTGAATAATATTCAAATCCAACTAAATCCTCAGTTACAAAGCATAATATTAACTGTTTTCCTATATCTATACAAAAAGAACATTGCTTTAAAGTAAATTATTCAAAATACAGAAGGAGAAGAGAAAGACAATATTCACTCGTACAAACAAAATCATAGATTTCTTACAAGTTAACAGAATCTGAATAGGAAAAAAAGCTGATTAACTGGTTGAGGAGGAGAGTATAGGGAAGAGTTTACAGATAAATACAATGGAATGGAAGTGCCTCAGGTGCACTGTAATAAATCTGAGTTCCTTCTGGCAAGGGAGAAAGGACAAAGCAATATTATCATACAGACCAGCCTGCTTTTATCATGTATACTTTTTAAAACAATCATTATCCTGATCACTATTTAAACTGACTTTCCTATCTTCTTGTTTCCTATAAAAACTTCAGTTTCTTCTGAGTCAGTGAGCAACCCTGGCCTATAAAGTAATCAAACACTACATTATTCCTACACATAACCAGGACATTAAACAGCACTTTGGGTATAAGAATACCTCTAGAATGCAAATGGATAAAATGAATGTATTAGAGAATGACTGAGGTTAATAAAGTGAATTTTAGCTGGAGTGATCATTGAGGACAAAGGGAATCAAATTAAATGCTGGAGAATGGAGATTGGGGACACAGCCAGTGATGCTCAGGGGTTACTCCTGGCTCTGCACTCAGGAATTACTCCTGGTGGTACTCTGGGTACCATATAGGATGCCAAGGATCCAACATGAGTGAGCCACATACAAGGCAAGCTTCTTACCTGCTGTTCCACGCCCCAAATTATTTGTTTTAGAATCAGTATACTATAACAAATAAGAGCTGAGACAGGGACTTGCCAGCAGTGGTGCTTCAATGCTGGAGCTGCCAATTTTGCTGCTTACCTCTAAAACCAGCACATTAACCCTAATTTAAAGATCAATATTCATAAATTATAAAATTAAGTAACTACATTTTACATATGACCATAGTGAACCACGTTTGAATTATTTTTGTTTGCACATACTTTCTAATCAGCTATGAATTTTTGAAGGGTATAAAATTTTAACCTTCTATTCATTTTTCCATTTCTTTAGGGTGATGAAATTGAGGATTAGAGAGATTAAATTGACATCCTCAGGGATATACAATAGCAAATGATTCAGATCAGGACTTAAAGGCCATTCTTTCTTCTCTGAACCATATTCATATCTAAGGAGATAAGAGAAAATGTACTAATGATGAAAACCAAAAGGATATCAAATATTTAATTTGGGATATTATAGGTCTAAAATTTATTTAATAAATAATTGTTGACAATTTAGTATGTGCTTGACCTTTCTCTGGATTCAGAGTTTAAAGTGGTGAACCAGAGACAAAAATTTTTTCCTTCATGAATCTTATATCCAAGACAGGAAAAAAAGTTATTGTTATATTTTTTGCAGCAAATCATAGAGGGAAAATAAACATATTTATTATATCTATGCCTCTTGGAGAGCCTGACAAGCTACCGAGAGTGCCCGGCCGGCACTGGAGAGCCAGGCAAGCTACCCCTGACATATTAAATATGCCAAAAAGAGCCTCCAATATGGCAACATTGGGAAAGACAAGTAAGGAGAATCTGCTAAAATCTCAGGGTTCCAACGAACGGAAACATTACTGGCGCCAGCTCGAGTTTATCGATGAACAAAGGAATGACAGTGATACTGTGATAAAAATTTGTAAGAGGATTAGCACGCACAAATAAATGCAGACAAGGTAGGCACATCAGCTGTGAATTCTTAATCTCTTGGTTCTAAATCAAAAATACCAGTGATCATTAATTTTGCAAATATTTGAATATGGAACACGCATTCTAACAAAATCACGTGTTAGTACATTCTTCATGTTACAGAAATAAATTCTGCTCCCTCCTGTTCCTAAATGCGGTCTCTCTCTAACAGTGGAGGAAGATTTTCTTTTCCTTTCAAATAGGGAGCAAATAGTTTTGATGAAAATCTATTGATTTATTTTCCGTTAAGTCACACACCCGTAACAGTTTCGCTCCTTTGCTTTGACAGCTGTCTGAGCACTCATCAAGGCTCAACAGGGCTGAGGCTACTACCAGCTCTGATCACCTAAAGGTGTAAATCCCCGTGCAACGCTCTCGGACTGGCGCTTCCAGCCGGCGAGAGGCCACGCCACCCGCCTTGTCTAATGTCGCGCTGCAGTTATCCCGTTCCCGCAGCACGCAGAACAGCATTGTTTAAAATGAAATTATTCCGATAATTCGGTAAATGTTGGAGGAAGTAAAGGTGGAAATAAAAGCACGGGGAATTTTGGAGGCAAAGGCAGCAGACTAAACACTGAGCACGGGGGCGTGTGGGCGGGGTCCAACTCCGGACGGGGGTTTCTTCCCGCAGCCAACAGGCAGCCCAAGGCCTTGCCCTCTCCGGGGCCCGGGTGCCAGCCTCGAGGGACCCTCGTATTCCCGCCCCGGCCGGTTGGCATCCCGGAGTCCCCCGGAAACGTGACAAATGAGCGGGTAGCGACCACTGAACCAGACTGCCCAAAGGCCGCCGTCCTACGCATGCTCCCTGGCCAGACATGAACTAAAGCGGCTGCCGCAGCCGCCGGCCCGCGCGTGCGCAGTGGCGAAGGCCGGGAAGCAGCCCCGCGGCCATCGGCCTGCGCGTGCGCAGTGGCGGAGATTCCGAAGTAGCCCGTGTCCGTCGTTCTGCGCGTGCGCAATGACCGAGGCCCGGAAGCAGCCCCGCGTCTGTCGCCCCGCGCGTGCGCAGTGGCGGAGGCCCGAAAGCAGCCCCGCGTCCGTCGCCCCCCGCGTGCGTAGTGGCGAAGGCCCGGAAGCAGCCCCGCGTCCGTCGGCCCGCGCGTGCGCAGTGGCGGCCCGTGCCGGCCGGTCTCCCTGGGTGAAGTAGCGGGGGCTGCTAGCAGGCCGACCCGCCGGACCATGTCCGCGCAGGGAGACTGCGAGTTCCTGGTGCAGCGCGCGCGAGAACTGGTGCAGCAGGACCTGTGGGCAGCCAAGGCATGGCTCATCACCGCGCGCAGCCTGTACCCCGCTGACTTCAACATCCAGGTGAGGCTGCCGGGACTGGCTGCGGGGCCTCTGGCCCCTCCCGGCCCCGAGCCCGCCCGTCCACCCCGCGGCGGTCGTTCGGGGCCACTGCACCGGGCGGAGGGAGAGTACCTGCTCCGGGTGTGCTGGGTCACTCTGCAAAGGCTGCGGGGGGTGGTCAAGAGTGTGGGTAGGTCATGGAGGGTTCACTGTTCTGCCCGTGGGGGTCACTTACACTGGCCGAGGGGGTCACTGTTTTGGCCACGGGGGTCACTACTCTGAGCGTAGGGGGTAGCACTGAACTGAGCGTGGAGGATCACTGCACTGGCCGTGGGGGGGGCACTGCTCTGGGCTTGGGGGTGTCTCTGCACTTGGCGTGGGATCGTGCCAGTCTTGGAGTGGTGGTGACCAGTGCCCTCTGTTTCAGTATGAGATGTACACCATCGAGCGCAACGCCGAGAGGACCAGCACTGCGGGGAGACTGCTGTACGACATGTGAGTGCTGCCTGAGCTGCCCGCGCTGCCCGGTGCCCGGAAGGGGCCGAGCCTCACCATTCCCCCGCGGCGCGTGGGCGGGTCCTGGCCCCCTGGGGTCGTCAGTCCGCAGCTTTCCGAGGTGCTGGACACAGGGTTCAGCACCGCCCAAGCTTATTCCTGGCCAGGGCTTTATTCCTCGCCCAGGCTCAGACCGTACGGAAGTTCCGAAGTTTGGAGAATAGAAAGTCAAAGCTTCTGTACCCCTTCAGAGTTGGTATTGGGGCGGGGCGCGTCTTTCTACACCTGGTACACCGACAGATTTGGGCAGGGAGGTTCTTATGAAACAAGATCACTTAGTTCCGCAGCTTGTTTTCTTGCCCACTATAATGAACTCCTTTCTGTTTCAGTAGGAAACTGGAATCTTCATCCTGATTGTTCTTGTCTGCAAAGCGTTTCATCATCTGGGTGAACTTCTAAATACAGATATCAGAAACTATGCAGAATAGCAACAAGAACCTTGTACTCGTGTCTAGCTGTTTTTCTGTAGAACAGATTCTTAGATGTAATTCCATAGTCTTAAGGATTCTCACGTTTAAAATTTTAACGCACTACCAAATTTCAAACCATAAATACAGTTCCAACTTATATTTTCACTACATTGTATGCTTCTGCTGGGATTTTTTGGAGGTTTTTTTGTTTTGTTTTGTTTTGGGAGCACATGGAGCAGTGTTTAGGGAACTGTGCCTTGCCAGGATCTAACCCAGGGCTCACACGTGCAGAGGTGTACTCCGGCCCTTGAAATTCTCCCTCTCCCCACCCATCCATTTTTAATTTTTGCCCATTTGATAAGAGAAAACAGTATCTTGCTATTTTTTTAAAATTTGTGTTCATTGTATTACTAAAAAGACAGGGCTTTTCCGATTTTCTCTTTTTACTTTGTGATTTGCTTTTGCCAGTTTTGGGGGTAGTTTTCTTTTTTTCCTTGATATTTAGGAGTTGGTCATTTTTCTTATAAGTGAAAAAATAAGTGACTTTTTTTTGCTTGTTTTTTAACTTAGAGAAAATATCAAAAAAGTGTATTTTTCTCAAATTGCTAATGTTCTTTCTTTTCATATACTCTATAAGAGCTGAAGTTTTAATTTAATACATTCATTTTAAATATAGGTTTGTGAATTTCCCAGATCAACCGGTGGTGTGGAGAGAAATCAGCATTATTACATCAGCTTTAAGGAATGATTCACAGGATAAACAAACCCAATTTTTAAGAAGTAAGAACAGAGTGATTGCATTATAGTATGGTTGTTATTTTTTTTTTCATCAATATCTGGTGGAAATTATTATTGTTCTGATATAAAGTAAACTTCATGTGTTCCCTTGGAGGGGGGAGAACAGGGTGATAATTTAATAGTGTATAAATGAGCTTTTCTGAAATACCAAGTTACATAAAGTGGTTTCAAAAAATCCCACGTGTGGTATTGGTGCTTGTATATATGTTTTAGTCTTGGCAACTGATCAAATGATGTCACTTGGTCCTTGTTTGTTAGGAGCCTTTTGCTTCTTAACAGATGGAGATGTGTGTCTTATCCCAAAAAATGGATGTTTTCTATATAGGTTTTGTAAAAATTAGATGCCTGTATGTAGATTAGACAATGTTTGTACTGTTCTCTACATGAAAGCACCTCATTTCTTCTCCTGCTTCGATATTTTCATTATAAAGAGACTTTAAAACTGAGCTGTGTTCCATGCAGGCTTATTTGAGACTCTCCCTGGCCGGGTCCAGTGTGAAATGCTGCTGAAGGTCACGGAGCAGTGCTTCAACACTCTGGAGCGGTCGGAGATGCTGCTGCTGCTGCTCAGACGCTTCCCTGAGACGGTGGTGCAGCACGGGGTAAGGTGGCCCCTTTGTCGGGTGAAGGACTAGAGGATGTATCAGTTATTCTAAAGCACAAACTGTGTATTCCTAAACAATGGTAGTTAAACTAAAAGTGTATCCTTATTAGCACACCCAGGATTCCTGGGAGATGGTGTGGAGTGTGAGGAAGCAGACCAAACTTGGACAAGTGCTGTCTGTTGGGATCTATGGAGCACAGGAAAGTTCACTGTATCACTGTCATTGTCATCCTATTGTTCATTGATTTGCTCCAGTGGGTGCCAGTAACGTCTCCATTTGTCCTAGCCCTGAGTTTTGTTTTGTTTTATTAGTGAAACACCATGAGGTACAGCTATAACTTACAAACTTTCATGCTTGGGTTTCCGTTTACAATGATCGAGTACCATCCTTCCACCAGTGCCCATTCTTTACCACCAATAATCCTAGTAGCCCTCCCATCCCATCCCCCTCACCCCACCCCATCTCTGTGGCAGGGCATTCCCTTTTGCTCACTCTTTCCTTCAGAGTCTTGTAGTTTGCAATAGAGGTATCGAGTGGCCATCGTGTTCAGTCTATAGTCTACTTTCAGCATGCATCTCGCATCCCGAGCAAGTCCTCCAAACATCCTTTACTTGGTGTTCCCTTCTCTATCTGAGCTGCCTTTTCCCCAGCATGTGCTGCTGGCTTCCAACTCCTAGAGCAGACCTCCTGGTACTTATCTCAACTATTCTTGGGTATTCAAATGTTACTTTATATTCCCGGATGAGTGCAGTCTTTCTATGTCTGTCCCTCTCTTTCTGGCTCATTTCACTTAGCAAGATACTTTCCGTGTAGAACCACTTGTATGTAAATTTCATTCCTTCTTCTTTTCTAATAGGTGCATAGTATCTCATTGTATAGATGTACCAACGTTTCTTTAACCAGTCATCTGTTCTCGGGCACTTGGGTTTTTTCCAAATTTTGGCTGTTGTGTACAGTGCAGCAATGAACATATGCAGATGTCATTTCAGCTGTACTTCTTGGCCCTGAGATTTTAGCAGCCTCTCTTTATTTGTCCTTCCCAAGGGTGCCGCATCGGAGGCTTTTTCAGGGTCAGGGGAATGAGACCCATTATTGTTAACTGTTTTTGGCATATCGAATACACCACAGGGAGCTTGCTAGGCTCTGCCATGCGGGCAGGATACTCTCAGTAGCTTCCCGGGCTCTCTGAGAGGGAGAACTAGACTATAAGAGGATGCTTGGGGAAGCACTGTTAGAGGCGTGCTTCTGGGAGTTTTGTTTTACAGTCTCTGGATCTTGGCCATTGATGGGATTATATGGTGCTTGGGGCAGTTTGTGGGTGTGACTGCCTAGCTACTGGAAAATGGGGGATCTGGGTGGAGGAGGCCCAGTCCCGATCCGAGCAGGCTTGGAAATCTCAGCCCTGGGTCCCGCACACCTGGGTTCCTCTGCCGGTTCCTTCATGCATTAGGTTCATCCAAGCATGTGGAGCATGGCTGTGGCTGGATTCCAGAGGTCTTCTTCACAAGAAAGTTAAGAGGAAAAAAACCAGAAGACTCTTACTCCATTATACTCAACAGTGTGTTTGAATTTAAATCAAGAGCTATCATTTATATTCTTGAGACATATTTTCCCATTTGTGTTTGCCCTATGGACACTGTTTTCTTTCAGTTCCCATCATTCCCTTTTATTTAAGTGACTAGGGAGTCTCTACTTGTGATGGCTTCTCCTGGAAGCCCCAGGCCCTGATAACCATGGCACCACCTTACAGATGGAGGAAACTCGGCATTTTCTCGCTTGCCTTCCCTCTGTTGATATTGCCATTGAAGTGACTAGGAGTTGCCCACATATTTAATTTTTGCTTACGATGCTTACCGGGGATCATATTCCTATGGTCATGGTGCTCGGACACCCTTGGCTGCAGGTGTGGGTGCTGGGGGGCCGTGGGCAGAGAGCTGCATGTGTCTAGGCAGCACGGTGGCCACTGAGCTGTCAACTGCCTCTGTATTGTCTTCTTGAATCTAGTTCCCACTTCACTGTAGTTTCTGTTGGGCTGGAGGGAGAGCGAGAGTTCAGTGGGCTGAGCACATGCAAAGCATTCAGGAGGTCCTGGTTCAGTTTCTTGCATGGTACCCCAGCATTGCCAGGAGTGGCCACCCAGTGTTGTGGGGTATGGTTCTAAAATTGAAAGCAGTTTTCTGTAGACATCTGATTGTCATTCTACTTGTGCTAGTTCAGAGGACAATAACTAGGACAAAGTGGTCAGGTGAAATTGGTGTACCCTTCTGGACTGTATTCCAAATTGTGTAGTAAGTAAGAAGTATCTTGTCGTCATTCTGATGTAGAAAGCTAATACGTTTCATTGTATTTTGAGACAGGTTGGCCTTGGGGAAGCGCTGTTAGATGCTGAAACAATTGAAGAACAAGAGTCTCCAGTTAATTGCTTTAGAAAATTATTTGGTAAGAAAAAGTATAATTCTATTCATTCCTATTTAAGTCCTCATTTCTATAGTTTAAACAGCATCTTAAATAGCTTCTAAATTTTTACTCTGTGACATTTGATACTTCAAAAAGAGTATATATATATATATATATAAAGCATCACAACAAAGAATATCTTGTATAAGAACTAGACTCTTACCAGAGGACTTCACTCACTGGTGTGCATAAGGGATTTTTCCTTGTGTACAATAAAATGAATTCTGAAATAAATTTTGCTTTTATCAGCACTCTATAGATTAGACAACTTCATCTTTGTTTTCATATTTTTCTCTTCAACAGTTTGTGATGTTCTTCCTCTGATAATTAACAACCATGATGTTCGATTGCCAGCCAATCTACTATATAAGTACCTAAACAAGGCAGCTGAATTTTACATCAATTATGTTACTAGGTCTGCTCAGATAGAGAGTCAGCATCAGGGTAAGTGGGAATATCCTATAATTTCACTGAGACAGACTTTGTGAATTTCGGACTCACAAAGCCATGGAGATAGCGCGAAGAGCTGGGTCACATGTCTGCATGCCTGTGGCCCCAAAAGGCCCCTTAAGCACCACTGGGTAGGCCCTGGTGGCCCCAGCAGCGGGGCAGCCTCTGGCCTGAGCATTGAACCCTCCAGATCACGTAACTGGACCCAAGCATGGCCAGCAGGGGCCTCGAGTCACCTGAGCACTGCTTGGGAGGTTCCCCCTCACTCCACGCCCCCCCCCATTTATTTTTAATAAAAAAAAAATTGCAAACTCAAAACTCCCTCATTATTTTGTTTTATTTCTCCTGCAGATACCAGTTTGGGTTTGTTTGTTTGTTTGGTTGGTTTTTTTTTTTTTTGCATCACATCTGGCTATGCTCAGGGGTTACTCCTGGCTCTGCACTCAGGAATGACTCCTGGCGGTGACCAGGGGACCATATGGGATGCTGGGAATCGAACCTGGGTTGGCTGCGTGCAAGGCAAATGCCCTACCCGCTGTGTTATCACTCCAGCCCCCTCCTGCAGATACCAGTTTGATGGTGTTTCTAAAAGATGGTTACTGGGTGGAGGGAAATACTACAAGAGAGAGACTTTTCTGTAATCAATTTACCCTTTGATCCCAGAAGTTAACCTGCTGAACTGGAATATTTGTGCCTTCACATATATACCACAGCTTGAAAGTCTCTGCCTCTTTTATGCGAATTGCCAGTTTTGGGTCACAGAATAAAATACATAGAGCTGTGCTGAGTTACTGTGCCTTTTTCTTTTGAGTGGGTAATTGGCCTCTCCCCACCACCACCCCCCAGGGCAAATAAATAATAAGCAAATGGCAGTGTGTTTCCTATTTGCTACCAGCTATTTTTTTTCTTCTTAGGTACCCAAGAAACATCGGATTTAATGTCACCTAGCAAACGCAGCTCACAAAAATATGTAATAGAAGGATTGTCAGAAAAATCATCCCAGATTGTGGACCCATGGGAGAAGTTGTTTAAAATCTTAAACATTGTTGGAATGAGGTGTGAATGGCAGATGGATAAAGGGAGACGGTAAACAGTCGTTTATTTCTGCAGTTGCCCAGTGCATCTTTTGGTTTTATACTCTCAGGATCTTAAAAGGAAGAAGGGAAAGAGTGCAGCCGAGGAAAGGGAGGACTCATTTTAAGCATATAATGCACAGCATAACTTTTCTTTGGGTAAATTCTTTTAATGCTCAGTACTTCCACAGGGTGGTTGTTCACGTTTTTAAAGATTCCCAAATGAAGGGCCAGGGCAATAGCATAGTGGGTACTTGCCTTGCACATGGCTGACCTGGATTCGATTCCTGGCATCCCATGTGGTCCCCTGATTACCACCAAGACTAATTCCTGAGTACATAGCCAGGAGTAGCCCCTGACTGAGCATTACCAGGTGTGGCCCCAAAAAGCCAAAGCCATAACAATTTAAAATATAAAGATTCCTAATCGAGGGGCCAGAGAGATGGAGCCCTTGAATCGATTCCTCAGCATTGCTTGGTCCCCTCAGCACCACGAACAGCAATCTCGAAGCACTGAGCAGGGAGTAATCCTGGGGTGGCCCCCAAACCACAAAAAATGCTAGTTGCAATAGGAACTCTTTTTTTTTTTTTTTTTTACTTTTTGGGACATACCCAGTGGTGCTCAAGGGTTTCTCCTGGCTCTGCACTCAGGAATTACTCCTGGCGTTGCTCAGGGGACCATATGGGATGCCAGGGATTGAACCTTTGTCGGCCGCGTACAAGGCAAACGCCCTCCCCGCTGTGCTATCACTCCAGCCCCTGCAATATGAACTCTTATGGTGGTAAGTTTAAAGTATTCCTTGATGTTCAGAGTTAAGTGAGACCAGTTAGCATGTTATGTACTGAATCTTAGTCTCTGATCTATTCTAATTCAGAAGAGGAGTATTCTAATTTAGAGGAGGTCATACATAGTTGGGCTGGAGCGATAGCACAGCGGTAGGGCGTTCGCCTTACAAGCGGCCAATATGGCCGACCCGAGTTCGATTCCTCCTCCCCTCTCGGAGAGCCCGGCAAGCTACCGAGAGTATTCGATATGCCAAACACAGTAACAACAAAGTCTCCAATGGAGACGTTACTGGGCCCGCTCGAGCAAATCGACGATCGACGGGAGGGCCATACATAGTAAAAAATTATTTTACGTGATTAGAGCTACATTTGCCAGATGTAATGGTTCTTTGTGCATTTATTTAGACCTTTTGCTGACAAGTGGTCTTTATCATTTTCATCTTTCAGAAGTTATGGTGATATTTTGCATAGAATGAAGGATCTCTGCAGATACATGAACAACTTTGATAGTGAAGCTCATGCCAAATATAAAAATCAAGTGGTTTACTCCACTATGTTGGTCTTCTTTAAGAATGCATTCCAATATGTCAACAGCATTCAGCCCTCCCTCTTCCAAGGTTGGTTAAAGAGTTTCAGTGTTTCAGCTGTCCTAACCATACTAAATAAGTGGAAAAAAAGTTATTGTGTTCCAAAATAATGTCCTTACTATGATGTTGAAGAAGATGAAAATGTTTAATACTGTTCTTATATCTAGATACTTGTATTTATATCTAAATCTAAATATTTAACCTGAATTGTAATAATTGTAGTGCTTTGTTTTGGTTGTTGGTGTTTTTTTATAAGGACATTTAAAATTTCATTTTAATTCTCTATCAAATATGGATATTTAATACTGATATTTTGAATAGTCAACAGGTACATGAAATCATTGACATAGATTTAGGAAGACTCCATTGCAGACAATTATTTTTGAAGTAATATAAATTGTAGAAAATTCTAGCACATAAATTCTAGAAAGTTTGAGAAAGGAATAAAATTGCCCTCGGTAATTTCAAAATAACTTATTTTTGTGTATTGCCTCTTTTGTATTTTATATAATTTATGATCGTTAAAAAGTTTTACGACAGATAGGGAAGGAATTTTCACTTGTGTTCTTCCCATTGAGAGAAAATGGTTTAATTATTTGGAATGTCTGTAGTCCTCTTTTTGTAATCCATATATGCTTGTTTCTTCACCTAGTTGGGATAACATTGAATATATTTTGTAATGATCTACATTTTCTTTCTGTTTGCTTTTGGGCACCAGTGATGCTCAGTGACTTCTCTGTGCTTGGGGATCTCTCCCGGCAGAGCTCAGGGGTCCTTGTGCAAGGGATGGAACCTGGGTCTCCATTATGCAAGTGCTCATCCTGCCAGGCTCTGGCACAGTGACCTAGAGAGTTTCTTAGGGCAGTTGTATAAACTTCGACCTGAGGTTAAGTGTTCTTTTTCTGCCTGAGTCTTTAAGAGTTGTGTTTTCTTTCCATCCTTAGGTCCTAATGCCCCAAGCCAAGTTCCACTAGTTCTTCTTGAGGATGTATCAAATGTGTATGGTGACATCGAAACTGATCGGACTAAACATATACATAAAAAGAGAAAGCTAGCTGAAGGAAGAGAAAAAACCATGGTAATTCTTTTCAGTATGTTTATTAACAATTATGTTTCCTATAAATATCTATAAAATCCAGCTCTGGAGCTAAGTTGACAGAACCTGGATCTTTCTGGGACCCTCAGTGCTCTGGGTTCTGTGGTGCTGAGGAATGCACTCAGCCTTCACTCGCTAAGCATGTGCTCTGCCACTTGGGCCAGGAAGTTCCCTTCCTAGACCAGGGAAACACCTGCGCATCAGCCTCCTGCATCTCCCACCCCACACTCTCTTCCCTCAGGTGCTCAGTTCTCCTGTTAATATTCACGGTTTACTGTTTTATTTCTTTCATCAATTTTATGACCTTATATTGCACACATAGATGAAGGTTGTCCAATTCTTGTCTTTATCTTTCTGACTTATTTTGCTTTGCACAAGTCCCTTCCTTAGACTTCCATTTTGCTGCATATGGTATATTTTCCTCATTCTTTTGTGGAGTGGGAGGAATGAAGCTACATAGTATTCTGTTGCGTAGATGCAACACACATTGATTATCTTCTCATCTATAGGTACTTCTTTGCTTCCAGATTTGTAAATAATGTTGTAATAAATTGAACTTAAGCTGTTGTAAATAATGCTGTAATAAATATTGGGGCAGATATGGCTCTTTGTGTTAATATCTTATAGTTTAATTTTTAGCCTTTTTAATTAGTAAAACATTTAATATTTCAAATAACATGTTTTTTTTTAAAAATTTATTATTGAATCACCGTGAGTCACATAGTTATAAGGCTGTTCCTGATCAGGTTTCAGTCCTACAGTGTTCCAGCACCCATCCCTACACCAGTGTTCTTTTCCCACTGCTGATGTCCCCAGTTTCCCTCCCGCCACCCTCATCTCTCCAGCCTGCCTCTATGGAGGGTGTTTTCCTTCTTTCTCTCTTTCCTTTTGGACACTATGGATAGCAATACAGGTGCTGAGATCATTTACCTACTTTCAGCACATCGTTCCTATTCTGAGTAATTGTTTTCAACTGTCAGAATGGTCCCTTCTCTATCCCCTGCGCTCAAAAGAGGCTTCCAACCATGGACCCATCCTCCTGCCTTTTTTTTTTAATTGAATCACCATAAATTATAAAGTTACCAAGATATTTTTGATTGATTTTCAGGCTCATTGTGTATTGTTTCAACACCCGTCCCTTCACCAGTGCCCACTGCCTTCCAGCAATGTCCCCAGTTCCCTACCCCCACCCTTCGGCCTGTTGGTGTGTCAGGCATTTTCCCAGCCCCAGTGCCAAGTTTCCTACTGTAGACCATTCTCCTGCTCTTCATTTCTATAACCATTGGGCATTTGAGATTCCCCTACAGGTTTTTTATATTCCACGTATGAGAGAGATCATTCTGAGTCTGTTCCTCTCCCTCTGGCTGATTTCACTTAATATGATACTCTCCAGATCCATCCACATTGCATCAAACTATACTATTATCTTTTCTTAAGGCTGCATAGTATTCCATCGTGTTGATGTACTGTAATTTCTTTATCCCATCATCTGTTCGTGGGCATTTGGGTTGTTTTCATATTTTGGGTATTGACTGTAATGCTGCAGTGAGCATAAGAGTACAGCTGTTTTTTCTGTTTTGTGCATTTGGGTCCTTGGGGTATATTTCCAGGTGGAGTATTGCTGAGTCGTGTGGAAGCTCAATTCTTAGTTTTTTGAGAAATGTCCGTATTGTCTTCCCAAAAGGCTAGACCAGTCAACATTCCCACCCGCAGTGAATGAGGCTCCCTTTTTCCCCACATCCACACCAACACTGATTGTTGTTATTCTTTTTGGTGAGTGCCACTCTCTGTGGTGTGAGGTGATTCCTCATTTTTTTGATTTGCATTTCCCTGATAATTTGTGATATGGAGCATTTTTTATATGCTTTTTGCCATTTGTCTTTCTTCTCTGAAGAAATTCCTATTCATCTCTTCTCCCCAGTTTTTTATGTATTTGGATGTTTTTCTTCTTGTAGAGTTTTACCAGTGCTTTATAATCTTGGATATTAGCCCTTTGTCAGATTATTTGCAGGTAAATAATTTTTCTCAGTTTGTGAGCTTGTATTGTCTTGTATTGTATTCTGGTTATCATTTCCTTTGAGTTGCAGAAGCCTCTGAGTTTAACGTAGTTTATCTCTGCATTTACTTGCTTGATCAGTGGCATTTCATCCTTAAAGATGCCTCTCACCTCAGTGTCATGGGCAGTTCTGCGTATATTCTCTTCTAGGTGCCTTATAGATTTGAGATCTGACATATAGGTCTCTAATCCATTTTGATTTGACTTTTGTGCTTGGTGTTAGAAAGAGGTCTATGGTTGACCAGTTTTTCCAATGCCATTTGTTGAAGAGACTTTCCCTGCTCCACTTCATATATTTTTCTCTGTTATCAAAGATTAACTGATCGTATACCTGAGGGTCTATGTCTGAATTTTATATTCTATTCCATTGATCTGTAGGTCTGTCTTTATTCCAATACAATGCTATTTAATTACTACTGCTTTGTAGTACAGTTTGAAGTTGGGGAAAGTGATACCACTCATCTTTTTCCCAGGGACTGCTTTAGCTGTTGGGGAGAAGGGTATTGTTCCATATAAGTTTCAGGAGTGTAGATTTATTTCTTTGAAAAATATCATGGGTATCCTTATAGAGATTGCGTTGAATCTGTTTAATGCTTTGGGGTTGGCCCGCTTTTTGATTGGGTGAGTTGTTTTTGTTGTTGATTTGAATGAGTTATACATATACCTTGTCTTACCAACTGTATCATCTTTTTTTCCATTTATATTTTCGCTTTTGGGGGGGAGGGGCGGGGGCTCCCAAGTGGTAATGCTTGATGGTGCTGGGTCTCTACACTGCCAGGGCCACCCCAGGCCACCTCTGCAGTGTCAGGGGCTCCCAGGACTCTTGTGGAAGTGCTCCGAGGTCTGCTGGATCGGGCTGTATGTGCTGGCCACTGTGCTGTTTAGAATTTCTTTCATTATACAAAAACTTTTCTGTCCGGTTGTTTGTCTTTGCTTCCATTTTTTTTGCCTTTGGAGCCGAATCCCCAAAGATGTTTCAAACACTAATGCTGTGGGACACCTCACTTCAGTTGTTCTTTTATGTAATAGTTTAGGGTCTTGGGGCTGGAGCTGGAGCAATAGCACAGCGGGTAAGGCGTTTGCCTTGCACGCAGCCTACCCGGGTTCGATTCCCAGCATCCCATATGGTCCCTTGAGCACTACCAGGAGTAATTCCTGAGTGCAGAGCCAGGAGTAACCCCTGTGCATTGCGGGGTGTGACCCAAAAAGCAAAAACAAACAAAAAACCCCAAATAGTTTGGGGTCTTACAGTGAAGTGTTTAATCCTTTTAAACTTCGGGGTAAGAGAGCAGTTCAATTTAATTCTGTTGCATTTGTCTACCTACTTTCCCTATCACCTTTGTTGAGAAGAACTTCCATTGTGTCATCATTATTTTATCATCATAAAATAATACTGAAGTTTGAAAGTAAAAATTAAATGCATGGAAGTTGAAAAATTAAAATTTGTATATTTATTTCTGGAGTACCTCTCAAGCAGTGCTAAGGGAATCTTGGGCCTGTGGTATCTCACGCCAACTCTGCCAGGTGTTGAATGCCAGGCCTGCGGAGGAAGGGCTAGGGTGGCACGTAGCAGAGCCACCCTGCAGTGCTCCGGGGAACTTGCTGCTGGGCTCGGACCATGCACTTCACGTGCCCTCGATCTCTAAGCTATACCCCTGAGCCCTCGATGAATTTTTATAGCCCAATTGTTAATTTTTTTTAAGTTTATTATACTCATGAGAGTGTTATAAAATAAGTGAGAGCAATAAAATTATGGATGTTCCTGAATATCACTGCACTTACTGCTTTATTCTCCCCTCATTCCTGAGGCAGAGTTCAGATGATGAAGAGTGTTCAGCCAAAGGAAGGAACCGTCATATTGTCGTCGATAAAGCAGAGCTGGCTAACTCTGTTGAAGTGTTAGAAAGCCTCAAGTTGGCCAGGGAGAGCTGGGAACTGCTCTATTCCTCGGAATTCCTTGACAAAGGTGAGAGTGTTCTTCTATTGTTGCTGTTATTTTTTTTTTTAATGTAACATCTTAAAAAGGCATTCGACTTGAATTGTAAAGTTTTAATGCTAATTAAATTGATTACAGTAGGTCATGATTTAAAGAATTATTGTTTGAGTAGGCTACCTGATCAGTCATTACTATTCAAATTACCACATAGCTCTCTGCTTGGGTCCCTTCAGGTCACCCACTTGCAGGGCAAGTTCCCTAACCCTCTCCAGTATCACACAAGCCTTTGCTTTGGTTTCTAATTGTTTTTTTAATTTTATTTTAGTCACCATGATTTATGATTTTATTGATAAAGGTTCAGAGCCTTTCCCGGGTTAGAGCCCCAAATAGGGTCTGTTTCCATCCCTCCTGATTCAGGGTCCCGCTCTCTCCCCTCTCCCCAAAGCAGTGTCCTCACAGTCATCTCACTGGCATGTAAGCTCAGTTCTGTAGACCAGTTGTAAAAGCCCATTGATTTTTGTCCTTTTGGTGTGTATTCCCTTACTCTACTCCTGTGTGTTCTCCTGTGAGAGATCATCCTATGTCTGTCTCCTGGCTTCTTCGCTCAGCATGATTCCCCCAGTTCCGTCCACAGAGCACTAGATTTTATGACTTCAATTTTCCTTACCGCCTAGTATATTCCATGTGTATCTGGCCATGGATTTGTTTTTATTATTATTTTTTAATGAATCACCATGAGATACAGTTACAGACTTACAAACTTTTGTGATTTTCAGTGATACAATGATTGAATACCCATCCCTCCACCAGAGCCCACTCTCCACCACCAATGTTTCAGTATCCCTCCCGCCACCCCCACCCCATCCCCCCAGGCCTCTGTGGCAGGCACATTCCCTTCTACTCTCCTTTTGGTTGTTATGGTTTGCCACAGATTCTTACTCACTCACTCTTCTGTTCTTGGACACAGTTGTTTTCCAGATTTTGCCTGTCAGAAGCACAGGAACACAGATGTCTTTTCTGATTAGAGTTTTTGGATCTTTGGAGTAGATGCTCAGATATGGGATTGCTGATTCACATGAAAACTTAATTCTTAGTATTTGATGCTGTTTTCCAGAAAAAATGAACCCAGGTGTAGGGGACCGGGGAGGAGTTCAGTTGGTAGGCACTGTTTGACATCCTGAGCACCACCGGGTGCCCCCAGAGGCTGAACTAGTTGCTGTCTCTACCTGAACTCTGGCTGAACTAGATTCCTTGTCCCTACATCCATGCGACACTGGGTAGTTTTGTCTTTTTTTGATGAGTGCTGCCAGTCTCACGGGGTGACGTGATTTCCTCATTTTGATTTGTATTTTCTTTATGATAAGTGATGCAGAATATTGTGCTTATTGGCTATCTGATGCATGTTCTATTCAAAGTTGATTTCTAATTGAAATTCTAGCCATTGTAGAAACCAGAATATAAAGTTGCTAACCATTTTTTGATAATTTATCGCTCTCTTTTTCTGTGTAACTTGATGTTAGTTTTGTTTTCTGCTTCTATGTGATGTGCCATTGGTAAATTTGCTTTTGTGTTCTCTCTCAGAATTTACAAGAATCTGCTTGGCTTGGAAGACAGACACTTGGCTTTGGTTGAGAATCTTCCTCACTGACATGATCATCTATCAGGTATCGGGATGGCCCTGTGCCACTCCTGTGTCTTCCCGGGGCCAGCTGTGACCCGGCTTGCCCACGTGTGCAGAGGTGTGTCCCCATGGCTGATGTATGGTCCAAAGAGCAAGGCTGCAATGAATGAGGGATCTCTAGTCTACTTTTCTTTTGAAGTAACTCTAAAGTGACAGCACCACATTATCTGTTTTACTTTGAATTCAGTTACACTCCTTTGCAAAATAAGCTTTAAATTTATTTATAAGAGATCACACTTCTCCTTTCTTGGCTTGACTCTGTGGAGTCTCATGACTCCAGTGCAGTTTTACTTTACTGCTCTTAAGCGAATCAAGAGGCCGAAGTCAGAGGCATCAACAGCTTTGTCTGGAGACACCTCCTGCCTCTATGAAGAGCTGCAGCCCGGAAGTGGGTGCTGCTTTCATCTTTCCCAAGAGAGAATTGGAGTTAGTGTCTTGGTATGCAGCAGTGCTGTGCCCTGAGTACTACCAGTGTGACCCCTTGTTGACAAACGATGACAAACGTTGCTGTCATCCTAGCACTGCAGCATCAAGGACTGCCCCAGGGGTACCCCAGGCCCCCTGAGCAGCACTAGGAAAAACCCTCCTTGCTGCCAGAAGTTGGATGATCAAGGAGAAGTACCTTATTTGTAGTTGCTTGATGAACCTGGATATGTTTGTTTGTTTGGTTTCGTTTTTTTTTTAATGGCAGTATTTTTTCCCTCCTTGCTCTTACTATCTATCTTAGGGTCAGTATAAGAAGGCAGTAGCCAGCCTGCATCACTTAGCAGCTCTCCAGGGATCTCTTCCTCAGCCCCAGATGACAGGGCAGGGCACCTTGGAGCATCAGAGAGCGCTCATCCAGCTGGCCACCTGCCACTTCGCTCTCGGGGAATACCGAGTAAGTACTGAACTGAGCACATGTCTGTGAAAATCCATCCTGCCACCTAGTCTGCTTGCTACCTTATTTTCCTTAATAGTTTTTTCTGTTGTGGCTTCCCTAAAATTCAGCTCCTGTACTTTCCGGTTTCCTATTCACTGATATGTTTTATTGGAGGATGATCATCTCTTCTTAGCTTTCTTGTGGGAATCAGTAGAGCAAAGGGTCCTGCTGTGCTGCTGTGCTTGTTCAGAGGAGGCCTCTGCTAAGTGGGAAGTAGACACTGGACGTTAGCCTGGCCGGGCTTGGACTGTCCTTTGGTCTGGCATTGGTGCTCCTGGCCTGGGGTAAGGTGCAGTGTGTGACCTGGCGATGGTGCTCCTGGCTGGCTGGGGTAAGGTGCAGTGTGTGACCTGGCAATGGTGCTCCTGGCTGGGGTAAGGTGCAGTGTTGTGACCTGGCCATGGTGCACCTAGCCTGTGGTAAGTGCAGTGTAGGATCTGGCCAAGCCCCTCCTAGCTGTCTCGCCCAGCACCTACCATAGTGATTTATACAACTTCTATCCTCTCATAATGTTTAACATCAATAAAAATGGTGAGCACATTCGGAGCTTGGGAGGTAGTACAGTGGGTAGGGCATTTGCCTTGCACGCAACCAACCCAGGTTCTATCCCTGGCACCCCATATGGTCCCCTGACACCACCATGAGTGATTCTTCAGTGCAGAGCCAGGAGTAAACCACCCCCACCCCAAATAAAATTGATAAGCAAAAAAAAAAATTTTTTTTTAAGTGAAACACTATGAGGTACAGTTGTAGACTTACAAACTTTCGTGCTTGGGTTTCTGTTATACAGTGATCGAATACCCATCCCTCCACCAGTGTCCATTCTCCAGCACCAATGATCCAGTAGCCCTCCCACCCCCACCCACCTTTGTGACAGGGCATTCCCTTTTGCTCTCTCTTTCCTTTAGGGTGTTGTAGCTTGATAAGCAAATTCTTGATTGATGCACAAAATGTCTACTTATAAGCATAGATTACTTCTCATCTCCATGTGTTGATTTCTTTGTAATTTATAACCCTCAGTGCATTTTGGGTTTTTTGTTTGTTTGTTTGTTTGTTTAATGCATTCTAGAGATCATAGCAAGTACACCTGCAGGGGCTGGGGAGATAGATGACCTGAGGTCTCAGCCCTGGGCACATGCCATGGCACTGCCACCCTACCACTGGCCCGGAGTGATCCTGCGCCTCTTGAGTGCCCCCACCGTCCTGGGAAAGTAAATAAATAATGACCCCATCGTTTTAATTGAGCTGGACAGGCATGTTGAGGGATGTCGGCCCGACAGTGAGCACTGTGAGGCCCCATCTTAGCCTCTCTGGGAGGCCCAGTTGCCTGTTCACCTGTTGCATGCAGGTGTGAGTTGCTGTAGTTCTCTGGCCTTAGACACAAAGTTGATTCTTGCCCTAGCTAATCTTTTTGATTCTTCCAATGTGATACATCTTTAGTGGTTTGTTCTTTATTTCCACTGTCACCCTGACCTCCATGACTTTTGGGGATGGGCAGTGTTGGGCCACAGTCGTAGTGCTCAGGGCTTACTCCTGGCTCTGCTCAGGGTCAATCCTGGCACCTCTCAGGGTGCCTGGCAGGGAGCAAACTGGGATTGCCATGTACAAACCTGTGCCTTAGACCTTACTACCTCTCAGGTCCGATCATAGCTTTTATCTGAGTATTCTTACTGCAGTTTTCTCTCAACCCTGTAACTTACTGCCTTCTAAAACTTTGCTGTCATCCTTTTACCGAATTGTATCGTTGACTTTCCGAGTACCAGGAGTTGAGTTCTAGATGCTAGGGGGGATTATAGCAGGCTGTAGGAAATCCAAGATTTCTGCCTTCAGGGTCTAATGATCTGAGATGGAGAGACAAGTGTTTATAGAAGAGTTAAAAATCAAATATGAGGGGGGCCAGAGTGATAGCACGGCGGGTAGGGCATTTGCCTTGCACTCAGTTGACCTGGGTTCGATCCCCGGCATCCCATATGGTCCCCTGAGCACCTCCGCCACTAGTAATTCCTGAGTGCATGAGCCAGGAATAACCCTTGTGCATCGCCAGGTGTGACCCAAAAAAAGCAAAGATAAATAAATATAAAATATGAAGTGGTGGGCTTCAACATCCGAGCATTGCTGGGAAGACTGGGCTCAGAGAGACAGGGTGGTGTTGGCCCACTAGTCCTGTCCTGCCTTGCAGTCACGCTGACCTGTGCGGTCATCTCACCAGAACAGCCCTAACTCCAGGCTCCTGAGCCACCCAGTCTGGGCCTGGGGCAACCAGAGCCCCAGAGGTCATTGCAGCCAGGGCTGACCAAGAGGAAAAAAAGGTCAGGGAACAAGGTTTAAGCCTCCCTCCTCAGCCAGAGAGCTAGGACTGGCCTTGCCTTCAGCTTTCCAGCCCTGAGTGTGTTGGCCTGAGCACCGCCAGGAGAGATTCTGGGCAGAGGCAGCAGCTGCTGAGTGGCACGGGTGTGATTCAAACCTCAAGGAGCTGACCAGGGGGTCTGCCTGGCCCAGAAGGTGCTCCATTGGTGGAAGCTGATGGTTCTTCTTACACACTGCTGCATCTGTCAGTTCTACCTACAGCTTCTCCATCCTCCAGGTTGGTCACCATGCCCGTCTGCCACCCTTCACCTCAACTCTTCCCCGAAGACCCTCTTTCTCTTGTCCACTTTCCAAACCCTTCCCTTCCCCTTTAAAGCTTTGGTCGTGATACCCTTTCTTTCTGAAACTTTCATTGCTGTGGGATTTTCTGCTAAAACATAAGACTCATGTCTGGAGTGATAGTTCAGTGCCTTGCATACGATCAACCCGAGTTCAATCCCTGGCTGAGTGCAGAGCCAGGAATAACCCCTGCACATTGCTGAGTGTGACCCCAAAAAGCCAAAAGAATAAAAAATAAAAACATATTACACATAATAATATGGGGATTAGGATGAGTGCACAGTGACTGGGGTTTAATACCTGGCACCACACAGTGTCTGAGGCATTTTTGAGTTCAGAGGCCCCAAAGCATCACCAGGTATGACCCTAGAGCTGTTGAACCCCAGCAGGGTGACTGAGCAGTACTGTATCCTCAGGCCCTTGTGCTGAGAATCACAAGTACGCACGGCTTGAGAAGCCCTAGAAAGCAAACGGGACTAGTAGGAGAATACGGGGGTAAACACACTTTCATGCAGCCAATCCAGGCTGAGTCCCTGGCACCACGTAGGGTCCTCTGAGTGCTGCCAGGATCACTCCTGAGCCTAGAAGCAGTAACAGCCCTAAGTGTAGCGCAAAAATCCTCAAATCAGTATACAGATACCCTATGTATCATACAGTTCACTCCTTAAGTCAGTCCTGTTTGGTTAAGTTTTCCATTCAGTGGCTGAAGAGTTGGCTATCATCTGTGATATCAGAATGTCCATGTGATGACTGCCACCTGCTACCACATGCTTGTAGTTATTCCCTCAAGGTTCTAAAACAGATTCAGTCTTAAATTTTCCTCTTTGGTGAGCAAAAAGAATATTCCTATAAAGAGTTTTTATGCAGAGGTATAGGCCTGTATGCTTATATTACTCGTAGGTTGTAAATATTTTGTCATATTTATTTGGTTTTAATTTCAGGAAACTTGAGTGCCTTTTGTTCTTCTTTAGATGACATGTGAAAAAGTCCTTGATTTGATGTGCTACATGATACTCCCAATTCAGGATGGAGGCAAATCTCAGGAAGAACCTTCAAAAATAAAGCCCAAATTTAGGAAAGGTATGGTGGTAAGGCTTATGTTTACTCTAAAATATCTTTAGGAGACCAGGAGATAGTGCAGGGTCAGGCTGCAGTCTGCGTGGGCTGACTTCTGTCCAGCCCTCACCCGCAAGCCCTGGCCCTGTCACATCTCCAGCTGTGACCCTAATGTACCCTTGGGCTCCAGCTTTCAACCAAAAGGCTGAGTGGCCAGAAATCTCAGAATTGTCCCAAGCCTCCTGGGCACCACTGGAAGGTTCCCCACCTCCCAAAATGAAATAGCTTTAGTGCCCAAGGTTGGGAAATTTTTCACAGTTCTTCATTAGATAATACCCCATGATTTGTAGAGCTTGGCAAGCTGTATAAAAACTTTCTTGACTAAGCTTTTTCTCGGCTCTGATTTCCTACACAGCTCCCTTCATTTCTTGTCTTCACCTCAGTTAGGAAAACTGGGTGAAGTATGTATTATTTTAAAGGGTCTCTTGGCATACCATTCATCTCTTGAGCTGGGAACCAGAGCGATAGTACAGTGGGTAGGGCGTTTTCATTGCACACAGTCGGCCTGAGTTCGATCCCTGGCATCCCATATGGTCCCCTAAGCACCATCAGGAGTAACCCCTGAGCATCGCTGGGTGTGACCCAAAAAGAAAAACAAAACAAAACAAAAAAACAACTCTTGAGCTGTTCGGTGTAGGGGTCTCCCAGTGGTCCTCAGAGGGGCATGTTGTGCCAGAGATTGAACTTGGGGTCTCACTTTTGCAATTTAGTTTTGAGCTATTTTAAGCTTGACCTCAACTGGCACATTGCTTGAAAACCTGTATAAATGGAGTTGTTCACTAATGTACTTTTCACCCTCAAAGTCTGAATAAAAGTAACCAAATGAAGCCAAAGATAGTAGAAGATGGGAAATAATAAGAGTAAGAATAAATGAAATGTAACACAAAATAAAATTAATAAAGCCAAAAGTTGTTTTGTTTTTGGAAAAGCATTAAAGTTGGTCAAATTCTAATAAGATCAATCAGGAAGAAGATGAACACACATTACCAATAATGGGAATGAAAGGAAATGAAAGGAAGTTCACCATAAATCCGACTGAAGTCAAAGGACAGAGTCTACATTAGGAATAATTTTATGACCATAAGTTCAATAATTTAGATGGAAGAGAAAACTTCTAAATCACAGCTTAGGGGTTGGAGAAATATTACAGTAGGTAGGACCCTTGTCTTGCACACAGCCCACCTAGATTCAGTACCTAGCCCTCATATTGGTCCCCCCAGCATCTCCAAGAGTAATTATCGAGTGCAGAGCCAGGAGTAACCCCTGAGCACCGCTGATTGTGACCCCCAAACAAAAACAAGCCAGAAAAATCACAGCCTATAAAAACTTGCGGACCTGAAGGGATAGCATGGGAGCTTCAGGCGTCTCCTGCGAGCTCGTGCTCCAGAATCAGAGCCTAGTGTTCAAGGCACTGTGCAGCCCCCGGGTGCCGTCTGCGTCCTTGCCATTGCACGAAATTTCTAGCCCTGCTGCAGTCTGATCGGGTGACCTGCACCAAGTACTACAGCTTAACACATGTGCAAGCTGCATAGCCAGTGACCGAGAGCCCCGGCAGCACATGCCAGCCCCATAGCCCTAACTTCTGTGCCTCCACAAGGAGTGACAGCCCACAGCTCACAGAGCAGGGGTGTCCCCACTGTCACAGACATTAACAGACACAGGAGGAGGAGAGCTGACAGTGAAGTTAAAGCTCTAAAGAAACAAAGAATTGCAATGAAATTAAACTTGTCACATTTAGAAAACTATAGGTCCAAATGGCTTCACTAGAGAATTCTATAAAGCATTTGGGAAAAAATGAAACCAATGCAGTACTTGAGAAAATACAGAAAAGGGGAATAGTTTCCAGTTCAGGTTTTGGTTTTTGGTGTTTTTGTTTTGTTTGGGGGGTGGGCATGGAAAGTCCATACCTGCAGTGCTCAAGACTTACTCCTGTATCTGCTCAGGGTTTACCCCTGCTGGGCCCAGGCCATATGGAATGCTGTGGACCAGATCTGGGTCAGCCACCTGCTGTCTTGCCGCTCTGACCATCGCAAGTCAGTTTTTAAGGCCAACATCCCCCTGATAGCAAAACTAAATGAGCATTACAGGGACAGAATGTTACAGGCCAGTACTGTGTGCATACAGTCCAGAGTCATCACCCAATTAGCAGACTCTGTAAAAAAATGGTCAACATTCTGACCATCCTCATTGGGAAAGCAAAGGTGACTTGATATGAGAAAAATCAGTCTTTATATTAGCTTATTTGCTGTATTACCTTTCTGTTGCTTTTATTAATTGACTTTTTTTAACAAGGAGCCAGAGAGACAGTACAGAGGCTAGGCACTTTGCTTTGTATGTGGCCAACCCCAGTTCAAGCCTAGCACTGCATATGGTCCCCCAAACACCATCAGGAGTAAGCCCCAAGCATAATCAGTATGTTCCAAACAGCTCTACTCCCCAAATCATAGCAAATTAGTATTGGAAACTTCCTCAGCACCATATTTAATGGCAATGAATGCATTCTCTCCTGAAGTCAGAGGCAGTACAGGGATGTTAGATGCCATGCCTGTGTACAGCACATTCAGGATCCTAACCAAGAAAAGCAAAAATCAAAATTCTGTCATACTTGAATACATACAAAGCCTAAGGAGTCTCCTGAATCAGTAACAATAAGAAAACAAAATAACAAATCAAAAGATGTGCGGTGATGTACATCCATCAGAAGACAATGGTTTGGGTGCTAATTTTCTCCCTGAAATGACTATAGGCTCTATGTGATCCCTATCAGAATCCCAGCAGACTTATTTTTTTTATAGAAATTAATAAGCTGATTCTAAAATTGATGGGACCACAGACATAGAGTATTTAGGGCACTTGCCATGCACATGGCCAGTCCAGCTTTTTATACCTGGTCCTTGTAAGGTTCCCCAAAACCTCCAGCAGTGACTGAGCTCATAGTAAGCCCTGAGCACCACCAAGTGTGACCCTGAAACCAAACTTAAATGAAAAGAACAACATAGAACGAACTTTTTTTTTTTTTGCTTTTTTTTGGGTCACACCCGGCGATGCTCAGGGGTTACTCCTGGCTCATGCACTCAGGAATTACTCCTGGCAGTGCTCGGGGGACCATATGGGATGCTGGGAATCGAACCTGGGTCAGCCATGTTGGCTGCGAGCAAGGCAAACGCCCTACCCGGTGTGCTATCCCTCCAGCCCCAGAACAAACATTTTTGAAAAAAGGTAAAATTGGTGCATACATTACCCGAAAGCAAAACCTAGATAAAAGGTATAGTTATTAAGACACTAATTGGTTAAGAAATAAAGGAAAATCCAAAAATAAAGCTACACAAAACCGAGTAATTTTTAGTGGAAGTGCTAGAGTGGAGAAGAGAAAGCATTTTCAATAAATGGCACTGGACCAAAATGGTTTTGTTTTGTTTTGTTTTGTTTTTTTGCTGGAGAGATAGCACATCAGTAGAGTATTTGCCTTGCATGCAGCCAGCTGGCCGAGCCAGGTTCTATTCCTCCGCCCCTCTCGGAGAGCCTGGCAAGCTACCCATGACACATTCAATATGCCAAACACAGTAACAAATCTCACGATGGAGACGTTACTGGGCCCACTCGAGCAAATTGATGAACAACGGGAGGACAGTGCTACCGTGCTTTTTGGGGTCACATCCAGTGATGCACAGGGGTTACTCCTGGCTCCGAATTCAGGAATTACCCTGGCGGTGCTCAGGGGACCATATGGGATGCTGGGAATTGAACCCAGGTCGGCTGTGTGCAAGGCACGGCCCTGCCTGCTGTACTATTGCTCCAGCCCCTGGATTTTCATTTTAAAAGAAAAAATGGGAGCCAGAGCAATAGTACAGCAGGGTAGGGAGGCATTTGCCTTGCATGCAGCCAACCTGGGTTTGATCAACATCTCATATGGTCCCCAGAGCACCACCAGGAGTAATTCCTGAGCAACACTGGGTGTGACCCAAAGAGCAAAAGGATAAATAAAAGAAAAGGCACCCCAACCCTTTTCCAAGTCTTTGTAAAAATTGAAGTTGGGTGTAGACTAAGCAAAAAGCTTAATGATTCTTATTTCAGTTGGAGGTGCTAACTCTAACCAGTTTGCCCCCGCAGTTCATAGTCTGGTGCGGAGCTTCTGTAGGGCTGCATACTGCCCTGCCCTGTCGCCTGGCCAGGGACAGTGGGCAGTGAGTGCTGATGTGTTTTCTGTGTGTACAACTGACCCTGGTTTGATCCCTGAGCCCAACGAGTATGGCCCCAGAATCAAAAGAATTAAAAAGCAAAATTCTGGAAGAATGCGCATTAAGAGAGATTGGTAAATTTCTTCCCAACAAAATTAAAACACCACCAAAGATTATGACCAAATGAAAAAAGTAAGTCATAAGAGTCTTAGGAAAATTCGCCAGGAAGTGTATGACCAGCAGAAACTTAGCTTCCAAAATTGAGAAACCCCTTGAAACTGACAAGAACCAACCATTCTTCCTTAGAAAAATGTATGTTGCACTGCACTGCGTGCACTGTCCTCCCGTTGTTCATCGATTTGCTTGAGTGGGTCCAGTAACGTCTACATTGTGAGACTTGTTGTTCCTGTGTTTGGCATATCAAATACGTCATGGGTAGCTTGCCAGGCTTTGCCGTGCAGTAGAGATACTCTCGGTAGCTTGCCGGGCTCTCTGAGAGGCGTGGAGGAATTGAATCTGGCTCGGCCAGGCTGGTACACACATATATAAACTGGGTTCATAGAAATAAAAGACAAATGGCAGAAAACTATTTGCAAAGATTGTCAACCTTTTTTTTTTTTTTTAACCTTTTTGTACTGTGGGAAAATTCAGCTTAAAACTTGAAGCTACCATTTCTCATACATCAGAATGTAGAGATGAAAGATGTGATAAGTGTCCCAGAGCAATAGTATAGCAGCTTGGGCTGGAGCAATAGCACAGCAGGTAGGCCGTTTGCCTTGCACGTGGCTGACCCGGGTTCTATTCCCAGCATCCCATATGGTCCCCTGAGCACTACCAGGAGTAATTCCTGAGTGCAGAGCCAGAGTAACCCCTTTGCATTGCCGGGTGTGACCCAAAATACAAAAAAGAAAAAATACTGTAGCAACTCGGTGCCGTGCTTGCCTTGCTCATGGCCAACCAGAGTCTGATGCCTGAGTGTAGAGCCCGGAGTAAGCCCTGAGCATCACCAGTGTGACACAAAAACTAAAAAGATGTAATACAGACCATCAAGTGGGAAGACACACATTGCACTTACGTATCAGGAAAGTATACAAACTTAGTCATTCTTTTAACCAGTTTCATCAGTACCCAGTGGACCATCTCATCTCCTTGGTACATATTCTATACCCCAGGTAACTGTTAGCAACTGCCCAACCAGTGGCGGTGTGCAAAACCTCCCACTGTTCCACAAAGTCATTGCTGTTTAATACAGGGTACACGGAACTATATTTTCCACTTAATGATAATCAGATTTTAAAACTATTGCATATTGTGAGTGGTTTTTATTTCTGTACTTTTTAATGAGAGTTATAATTTAAAACTGTTATACTTTGTCAATCTAATTTTTATTTATTTTGTACACAAAATGTTCCTATTTTCATTGAACTAGTAGAAAACCAGTGCCCTAGGTCAGTAATTTTCAAACTGTGGGTCCTTAACTGTAGGGTCATGAGTTTTAGCCAAAACTGTTTTTGTTTGTTTGTTTTATGAAATGAAATAGATATATAATTATGTTAGGCAAATAAACATACAAATGTTTATATACCTATGTTTATATAAACATAAAATCCCCATATCAAAGGTATACTTTGTCTCATTATTTGCCCTATTGTGACATAAAGAACTTTAACCATAACAGAAAAGGTTAAAGTTTCTTTCGAAATCCATTGCTTAGCGTCTGGAGTGATAGCACAGCAGTTAGGGTGTTTGCCTTGCACGATTCCCAGCATCCTAAATGGTCCCCTGAGCACTGCCAGGAGTGATTCCTGAGTGCAGAGCCAGGAGTAATCCCAGGGCATCGCCGGGTGTGATTAAAAAAAAAAAATCCATTGCTTAAAGTTTTTTTCATCATGTATAAGAAAATATATGTAATGATGTCCACTTTAAAAATAAATGAAAAATATTTCAACATTTTTTTAAATGTTCATTTTCGTCTTTATAATAGTGAAAAAAATGGATATTTCAATGTCTATTATAAAAGAATGGCTAAGTCAAAGCTGGGATGATAATACCTACATTGAATAGGGCGTTTCTCTTGCATGTGGTAGACCTGGATTAGATTCCCAGTACCCCAAAATGGTCCTCTGAGCCCCATTAGGAGTGATCCCTGAGTGCAGAGCCAGGAGGAAGCCCTGAGCACCACTGGCTGTGATCTCCTGACTCCAACCCTGAAAAAAGAAAGAAAACACTGTATAATAATAATCATTAAGCTAGCACCTCATGTAGTGGAGTAATTTGCAGGGCACACATAACACTTAAACAGTAAAGTAAAAACATTTCTATGAATACAAATTGTTGTTAAAATCCTATTTATACATAGGAATGGGCCGGAGCACAGCGGTAGGGCATTTGCCTGCGTACAGCCAGCCCCGTCTAGCCGGGTTCTATTCCTCTGCCCCTCTCGGAGAGCCCGGCAAGCTCCCAAGAGTATCTCACCCGCACAGCAAAGCCTTGCAAACTCCCTGTGACGTATTTGATATGCCAAACACAGTAACAACAAATCTTACAAAAGAGACGTTACTGGGCCCACTCGAGCAACTCGATGAACAACGGGAGGACAGTGCTAAGTGCTACATAGGAATATTAAAAAAAAAAGGTAAAGGCCCTCCTTGATCAACGAGGGTAAAGGCCCTCGTTGATCATCAATTTGCTCGAGCGGGCCCAGTAATGTCTCCATTGGAGACTTTGTTGTTACTGTGTCTGGCATATCGAATACTCTCGGTAGCTTGCCGGGCTCTCCGAGAGGGGCGGAGGAATCGAACTCGGGTCGGCCATGTTGACCGCATGCAAGGCAAACACCCTACCCGCTGGAGACTTTGTTGTTACTGTGTCTGGCATATCGAATACTCTCGGTAGCTTGCCGGGCTCTCCGAGAGGGGCGGAGGAATCGAACTCGGGTCGGCCATGTTGACCGCATGCAAGGCAAACACCCTACCCGCTGGAGACTTTGTTGTTACTGTGTCTGGCATATCGAATACTCTCGGTAGCTTGCCGGGCTCTCCGAGAGGGGCGGAGGAATCGAACTCGGGTCGGCCATGTTGACCGCATGCAAGGCAAACACCCTACCCGCTGGAGACTTTGTTGTTACTGTGTCTGGCATATCGAATACTCTCGGTAGCTTGCCGGGCTCTCCGAGAGGGGCGGAGGAATCGAACTCGGGTCGGCCATGTTGGCCACTTGTAAGGCGAATGCCCTACCGCTGTGCTATCGCTCCAGAAAATACTAACTTTTGTAGCTGAGTGGTGAGCACACTGGTATGTGTAATGTGCTTCTGCATAGCTAAAGTGTGTGTGTGTGTGTGTGTGTGTGTGTGTGTGTGTGTGTGTGTGTATTTGCTTTTTGGGTCACACCCAGCGATGCTTAGGGGTTACTCCTAGCTCTGCTCTCCGAATCACTCCTGGCAGTGCTCAGGGGACCATATAGGACGCAGGGAATCGAACCTGGGTTGGCCCCGTGCAAGGCAACGCCCTACCCACTTTGCTATCGCTCCAGCCCTGAAATGTATATGTTTTTTGTTTGTTTGTTTGTTTGTTTGTTTGGGGTGTCATACCTGGAGATGCACAGGGGTTACTCCTGGCTCTGCATTCAGAATTACTTCTGGCGGTGCTCAGGGGACCATATAGGATGCTGGGAATCGAACCTGGGTTGGCCCCGTGCAAGGCAACGCCCTACCCACTGTGCTATCGCTCTAGTCCCTGAAATATATATTTGAAGCAAATTTAAGGAAGAAGATTGATAAATAAAATCTAGGCTACTCAAAACCCATTTTCACCATCACTAAGTATACTCATGATCTAATTATCTTAGTGGGGGGGGAGGGTTGTTTGCATTGGAGCATTTATTTTCCAGGCTGTTTTTCTTGATAATGACAAGTATATTGTGTATCATTGTTAGGTTCGGATCTGAAGCTTCTGCCTTGTACCAGCAAAGCTATCATGCCATACTGCCTGCATTTAATGTTAGCTTGTTTTAAGGTAAGCATGAAGATGTTTAACTGAAGGGGATTTCATTTGAAATGTTTTGATTTGAAATAACTCAAATTGAGAGCCTTGTAAACAAATGTTAAGTTTATTGATTCCTTAACAAAATCAGTTGGTTTATGAGGAAAGCATTGGGGCTAAGAATAAACAAACTTTTTTGGTTGTTTTTTTTTTTTTGCTTTTTTGGGTTGCACCTGTCAATGCTCAGGGTACCCGCTGTGCTATGGGTATGGCTGTGCTCCAGGCCCAGCCAACAAATATTTTTACATAACAACAGTCCTAGGCAAAGGGAGCAGGAAATGACCCTTGACCTCAAGAAAACAAATAATGAGCAAATATGCAAATAATTTTGCATTCAGTAAATGTTATTTTACAAGGCGATTTATTTGTTTCAGAAGAAGAGAAGACTAATACAGTTAGGGTTGTAGAGAGATGACAAGTGCACAGAGTAACAGCATTTGGGCCTGGCTGGGAAAGGGTGGGTTTGAAAGAACACCAGACTCTCGGCTGTGGGGAAAATAGAACCTCAGATCTGAGGCGCCAAGGCTCCAGAGACAGTGAGCAGCTGGGCAGTGGCGCTGGGCCTCCTGTGTAGGGCACTGATTCCCAAGCGGAAGTCAGCATAGGCAGCTGGGAGTGACCATCAGCTGTGCCTGCTAACCCTCACACGTCTCCCTCCCCAGCCCCAAGCTTTCCTCAGACCCTGAGTCCCAAAATGCAGGTTCCTCCGTAGGAGAAACCCCCCAATTATTTTCTCAGAACCATTCAGCTTTCTCTCGCCCTCCCCACCATGCTATCACTTTGTGCAAAGCTGCTGTACCCCGAGATAGGCCCAGCCTCGAGATAGGCCCAGCCTTGGCAGGCCCTGTCTGTTCTCAGCAAGTGGGTGGCCGGGAAGCAGAGGTTTCTGCCATACCCAGCAGGGCTCCTTAGAAAACACAGGAACATTTGTAAGGAAGCATGTTTGCTTTCTCCCTTATGGCCTTTATGATATCCCCACTGGTGTGTGTCTCGGTGCTGTTGGTGTGGCTGGCACAGCTCCCCTCCCTGTGTGAATCTGTCTTGCAGCTCAGAGCCTTCACAGACAGCAGGGACGACATGGCCCTGGGGCACGTCATTGTACTGCTGCAGCAGGAGTGGCCTCGGGGAGAGAATCTCTTCCTGAAAGCCGTCAATAAGATTTGCCAACAAGGAAATTTTCAATATGAAAACTTTTTCAATTATGTTACAAGTATCCTTTTTCTGATTTTTCAGAGTGAATGTGTAGTACAATTTTTTCAGAATGAATCGTTTTCTGATTTTACAGAATGAATGCGTAGTATCACTGCACTGTAGCACACAGGCACCAGTAATGTCTCCATTGTGAGACTTGTTACTGTTTTTGGCATATCGAATACGTCACGGGAAGCTTGCCAGGCTTTGCCGTGTGGACGGGATACTTGCAGTAGCTTGCCGGGTTCTCCAAGAGGGGCAGAGGAATCGAACCCGGGTCAGCCGAGTGGAAGGCAAATGCCCTACCCGCTATGCTATCACTCCAGCCCATTATAATGTGTAGTACAATGAAACATTCTGGGTAGAAATTACAGTTTTTCCTACTTTATAGAAAAGAGAAAGAATGAAGGGTGATTAAAAATGAGACAGGCTGGAGCGATAGCACAACGGGTAGGGCATTTGCCTTGCACACTATTGGCCCAGGTTTATTCCCCAGCATCCCATATACTCTCCCGAGCACCGCCAGGAGTAATTCCTGAGCGCAGAGCCAAGAGTAACCCCTGTGCATCACTGGGTGTAACCCAAAAAGGGAAAAAAAGAGACTGTGGCAATACTCCTCTTTTTTTTTTTTCTTTTTGCTCTCTGGGTCACACCCAGCGATGCTGAGGGGTTATTCCTGGCTCTGCACTCAGGAATTACTCCTGGCGGTGCTTGGGGGACCATATGGGATGCCGGGGATCGAACCGGGGTTAGCCACGTGCAAGGCAAATGCCCTATCTACTTATCGCTCTGGCCCCAAGTACTCCTACTTTAAAAAAAAAAAAAAGGCTGTCAGGGCTGGAGTGATAGTAGTCAGGGCTGGAGTGATAGTATAGCACGTTAAGTGTTTAGGCCAACTCTGCATCACATGGTTGCCCGAGCACTGCCAGGAGTGACCCCTGGGTGTGACCCAAAAACAAAACCAAAAATGAGACTGTGGCAACTAATCTTGTGAGAGCCATAAATGTCTTTCAAGCCTCGTGTGTCTGAAGGAGTCTGAGCTGCCTGAAGTAACAGCCCAGGGTGACTGGCCTCAGCCCAGGGTAGAGATGCTCACTGTCTTCCTCTCTGGGAGAGGGTTTGGGAGTCCACCAGGACACAGCCTCACGGCTCTACTCCATGCCCCATGACGTTGCGACCCGCCTCCGCAGCTCTCCCAACAGTAGAGTAGGGATCTGTACTGTTTTTTTGGGAGAGACTGTCTGAGAGCCAGTGGTACATGTCTGGTCTCTTTCAGTCCAAGCGCCCAGAGCACCACTTTCTTACCTTGGGGCCAGTATACACCACCACCACTCATTGTTTCCTTAAGAAAATTAAGATTTTGCTTCTGGATCTTATGATTTTGATTGCTGTGATGAACATGTTTGTCTTAGTGAGATGGTTTGGCTGTGTGCAGATCTTTTTTTTTTTTTTCCTTTTTGGGTCACACCCGGCGATGCTCAGGGATTACTCTGGGCTCTTCTCTCAAGACTTATTCCTGGTGGTGCTTGGGCACCCTATGGGATGCCAGGGATCGAATGCGGGTCAGTCACGTGTAAGGCAAAATGTCCTACCCGCTGTCCTATCGTTCTGAGCTCCAGATCATTCATTTTGGAATCATACAGATCTGAGTTCTGATGCCAGCTTACCAGTTGCCAATGGGCAGTGGTGGCTTCACCCTGTGCCCTCAGCCCAGAGGATAGGCTCTGAATTCACTCGCGATTAGCCTGAATGTGACCTGCAGATATTGACATGCTGGAGGAATTCGCCTATTTAAGGACTCAGGAAGGTGGAAAGATTCATCTGGAGTTACTGCCCAACCAAGGGATGCTCATCAAGTAAGCTGCTTATCTTTTGCTGAGCTTTTGTGTATTCATGTTTGTGCATTTCTATTTGTTGCAAAGATTTAATAGTGAAGAATTAAAACTTAGTCTTTATTTTTGAGAGTAAATTTAAGTCTGGATACTTTTCAAAAAAAGATTCGGCTTCTCCTTCTCTCATTTCTGTTAAATTGGGGTTATTGCTGTCATTCTCGAAACTTTCTCAGTATACAAATGTATCATTCATGGTGTACTTTACTTTACACAATTTGTGGACTGATTCTATATATTTCTGGTTAGATAGAGTATACTTTAAGAACAGCTAGTTTGGAAAATTCATTAGGAAGAGCTGTGGATTTTATCAGCTTGAATTCAGCATTGGATTGAATGAAAGCCTCCTAAGCGATCCTCATTGCTTCCAATAACAAAAAGAAAACTTGCCAGTTCTAATGCACCCAGGTGTCACAGGCCCCAGGACCCGCGGCCAGTGCTTGGGGCTTAGACTCAGGCATGCCTTCCCACACCTAGATGGAGTTCAGTGACCATTTATGATTTTTAAATAGCTCATGACTCTTGCTTCTCCCCTTTGATACTCATCGTAGTTTGGATCTCCCCTCTGTGCTGTAAGTGCTCAGCTTTATTTCCATACTTCCTCCTTTGCGTCCTGCCTACTAAGCGTGTCTGTAAGTCAGTGTTAGAGCCACTGCAGGAGGCTGTTGCTCAGACTGGAGCCACCCTCCCTGAACTGGGAGGCAAACAAGCTTCCGGTCACTGAAAGCAGAAGTCCACATCCGACTCTTTAGGACCATAGAAGTATTGAAAGAGGAAAATGAAAAATGTTCACTCTGGGTTTCCGTAAACTCAGCCATTTAGCTTGCAACAAGCATTTTATGTTTTCTTAAGACCAGGTGCTGGTAGAACACACACCTTGTCCGTCAGGGCCCTCGCTGGTTTGACCCTGACATGACTGGAGTAGCCCAGGGTCGTTCCTAATCACCAGGTGTGGCCTGCGGGCCCCCGTCTTGGCTGGAACACAGGCCATGCCGCCCTTGATCTCCAGGAGTATCCAGCCCTGCGCAGTGCCGGGTCAAGCCTGTTTTAAGAGGCTGCTATGAGATCCATTCTACAGAATGGGAAGGCAGGATTTTTTTTTCTGCCTTCATTTTATGTTTTATTATATCTAGAATAAATCAGCAAATGCTGCTTCTGAAAACACGAGGGCTTTGCACATCGGACTGCTTGCCCGGAGACTGAATGTGCACTTCTTTCTCTCCAGTCACCGGCTAGAAACGGTCGGAGAACAATTATGTGATTCAAAATCTTCCTGTTAAAAAAAAAAAAAAAAAAATCTTCCTGTTGTTGGAGAATAAGGTTGCGTTTTGACTTGGGAACTTATGAACCCTTTCTGAGTTGAGATTTCTAGGTTTTGAGACTAGATATTCAAACATTGCCTTTAAAAACTTTTTTAGTAACTTCCCTTTAAACCTCACCGTAAGGCTGTATTTCAGAGCAGCCTTAATCGAGCTCCTTAGTTAGACCTCAGCTCTGAATGTTTCTCACTCTGTTCAGATAATGCTTGGGAAAGTGTGAGCCAATGGATTATTTTTTTAATTGTTTTAACAATTATAAATCGCAGACTCTTTCATATTGAACTTCTCTTTAACTAGTTTTGATTGAGCTGAATAGTAATGAGCTGAATGGGTACATGTAGGCAAGCCCTGGGACAAGAATTTTGAGGGGGTGGTGGGCACACAAATATCACTGGAGGGCCGGAGAGATAGTCTAGCAGGTAAGGCAAGCACCTTGCATGTGGCTGACCTGGGCTCAATATCTGGTACCCCATATGTTCCCCCAAGCCCTGCCAGGAGTGATCCCTGAGAGCAGAGTCGGGAGTAAGCTCTGAGCACCAGCAGGTCTGCCCCAAAACCAAGTAGACCAACAAAAACCCGGGAAAGGGCTTCTTAGAGAAGCAGGGATGTAGTGAATGCAGTGAGTGCATTTCTGGCTCTGAGGGATGATGCCATGCTCCCCTCCTTGGCCAATACAGTCTTCTATCTCCTCCAGGAGATTTTTATTACTCTTAGATTGCTTGTTTCATCAATTGGATGCCGGAATAAAAATGAAGACTATTACTAAATGAGCTGCCCTTGTTAGGATTCTCCCAGTCTTTGCCATGTGTCCCAAGGGTCATTTGGAACCTGCCTTTTGAGTTACTTCTGCCTGACCTGTAGCAGGAATCGCCAGCGCATAGCCAAGCTCTGTGATTCAGGCCTGGCTGGACTCCACTTGTGGCCCCTGTGTGCGTTCTGGAGCCGGCCACACTCTCTGTGTTTCTGACATTCTCCTCCTGTGCATTGCCAAGAGCCAGCTATTTCTTTGCTGCTGTTTGCAGGATCAGAGTGCATGTGACTGAGATGGAACAAGGTCTTGCACTTGCTCCGGATCGGGTGTATGATGGCTTTCTGTGAAGTGCTCGCCCTGCTAATGTACTGAATCTTTGTTGTTTCAGAGTTCTGCAGGCCATGGCTCCCACACCCCGCCCCCAGTCCTTCCCAACCTTTCTTGGTCAGACACGTTCCAGCCCCTCTAGAGCTCTGGGAAGGTGCTACAGGTTGGGGTTTGGACTTGAGTGCTGTCACCTAAAGTCCAGAGGCTTCTTTAGGGGACGTGTGGGTGTGAGAGGAGCGGAGAGTGGGGCCCCTCCCCCACAGCCGTCAGTCACCTTCGATCGGCCTCTTCCTCCGTGTTCGCTTTTCCCACGACTCCCAGTGAGATGAGCTCGGGACCTGGACGCCTCTGGACGCGAGGGGCCGCTCGCTTCTCCCAGGCCGAGGACCAGGCTCTGGCCAGGGCCTGGGAGCCGAAGGCGTCTGTCCGCTCTGCTTCCGTCCTGTGCATTCTCTGGAGTGTGGTTCTGCAGTGCAGGGTGCGTCGGTGTGGGTGTTTGAATGCCACTGTTTGCTGTTTTTTAAAGGCCTTCTAGCCCTCCCATGGGGTTGCTGCAGCAGGAATTCTTACCTGTGCTTCAGCCCAGCATACAGACTGCCGACAGGTACCGAGTGGGGAACCCTGCTCACAGTGTGCTGTCCGTCCACATGTCCTACCGCCCATGGTTTCAGCTCTTTGTTCCTCAGTGCTCTTTTTCATGCTTTATTTATTTGTTTAATTTGTTCCACATTCCTTGGCAAACCATCTGGTTGTAATATTATAACATTTCTTTTTTATTTTTTTTTCCATAAGTTGCCGGTGTTTTTGTGTTCAATTTAAAAATCATTATGGATCTGGAAAAAAAGCTATTTAAAATTGTATTAGATTAAGTGCACATTAGATTAGGCACTAAACTAGGATTCGCTTTTAATTAAACATAGGCTTTTGGTCATACATGCTTCAGTACATTGACATTTAAGTCAGTTTTCACTCAGGTTTTCATGTTACTAGCCAGTGTAGAGTTGTGGCCTGAATAGGGTCAGCACAGTAGTTTCCTGTCCTTAAGTCTGTCTTCTCTGACCTTACCCTCCTGAGTTGAAGATGTTTGGTGGGCTAGACTGTCACTGGCTGACTTACCCTGTCCTTAAACCCCAGAAGCCACAGGGCTCTGGCCTCTCGTATGTGAGACTCTGGGTTCCACCCTCTTCCACAGAAAGTAAAAGCCCCCCCAGGAAACTGAGTCTCTTCACGCCCGCTGAGTGCGGCTCTCTGGGGCCGACGCTGCCTGGGTCAGCAGGAGCCGTGCTTTGTTACGTTCCTGTTTCTAGTCTTAGTGGGGAAATTCAGCTTTTGGCTTGCTGTCAGCAAATGCCAGTAGTTTTTGTTGGGTCCGTGGGCTTGCTGTCCCTTGGGCTGCAGTCCTGACCCAGAGGACCCAGGACAGTCTGCGTGTGCCCAGTGGGACCCCTGGCCCCAGCCTCCCTGCAGCCCTTTCACAAGTTCACAGCTGGGCTCAACTAGAAACGCAGCCACCGACCCCACAGAGCCTGTCAGTTTTCCCAGGCCTGGGTTCTAATGACTTCCTGTTGCCTTGCCACTTTCTGACTTGTGTTGTATTTATCTTCCATGATAACACAAGTTGAAAAAAAATATACATATATATACCAAAAACCACCAAAGTTAGTTTCACCAGTCTATTGTTTTGGCCAGGATGTACAGACCTTGCTGTAGATCCTGTGCTGGCAGCGGCCAGGAGCGGAGGTCCTGGCTGTCGTCGGTGTGGGCCACCCCATCACTCAGCTCCTCTTACTGAAACTCCTGGTGGAGTCCCTTCAGCAGCACTAGACTTTTCCTTTTCTTTCTTCAGTGTACTGCCTTAAGTGGCCCGGGATTTCCCCTGTTTCCCAGCTCTGGAACACAGCTTTGGAGCGCTCCTAACCCTCCACACACCCTCAGGCACCTGCCGGCCACTGTCTGGCCTTTGTGGTCCTGCTCCTCGCAACCCCCCCCCCCCCCCGCCCCGCCCCGTGTCTCTCTCAGGACCTCCGAGTCCTCCCGCTGCTCCCGTGGAGTCTGGGCAGGCTCAGCTCCCAAGGCACTGGCGCTTGTGCCCCCTCAGAGCAGGCTGCAGGGGCTCAGACACTGAGATGTGCGGCCCATTGCTGTGCACAGAAGATGTACCTTCGCTTTAAGCCTGAGGAGGAATCATGAGGATGGAGGAGGGGGCAGGGCTGTTGGGGCTTTCCTTTTTCCATTATTGAATCACACCTAAGCTTGAGGCAGGCTCCACTCCTCTCCCAGAGCTCCGGGTGGCACTGCAGGTGCTAACCTAGGTCGTCTTTCTCCCATCCCACCCTCAGGCACCACACGGTCACTCGGGGCATCACCAAGGGCGTGAAGGAGGACTTCCGCCTGGCCATGGAGCGCCAGGTGTCCCGCTGCGGGGAGAACCTGATGGTGGTGCTGCACAGGTTCTGCATCAACGAGAAGATCCTGCTGCTCCAGACGCTGGCCTGACGCTTCCCACCAACCCGGGCCCGCAGTGTCCGAGTAGGCAGCCAGCTGCTCTGGTGAAAGTGCTTCCCAGGAATCTGAAAAGCTAGTTCTATTTTTAAGAGAGTTTTTCTTTTTGTAATTTTTGTAAAATATCAACCCATTTTGTAAATAAAATTTATCCTAAATTGGGAAATTTGAAACATTTGTTTTAATTCTTATAAATGAACAGGGACACCTCCTCCTTTAGAAAGACTTACCCCCGAGCTGGACAGTTTTCCATAGTTTGGGATAAATATTACATGTCAATGCGATACTAGACTTTTTCATTTGAGAAATTTCACTACAAAAAAATGTTACGCAAAAGTGAGCTTCCAGCAGGTGGACATCTGCAGAACAGCCAGGTGTGTTGGCCGTGGAGTGCCGGCCCGGGACAGGGGGCGGGGGGCGGGGGGCCAGGAGAGCTGTTATGCTGTCTTCTTTGTCAGCTTCCCTGGCACATCTGTTTCTCTGCCTCATGCTCATTTTAGAAAGAACAGAGAGCTTCACTCCAGTGTGGTACAGACTCCAAGAGACTCAGTGCCTTGCCATCATGTGTTCACCTGTCTTAACTCTCAGGGGTTTTCTGAAATTTTTATTGCTATTTCTGAAACCTGTCAGATGAACATCAAAGATTTGCAAGGGCTATTGGAAAAAAAATTTTTTTTTTTTTTTGCTTTTTGGGTCACACCCAGCAATGCACAGGGGTTACTCCTGGCTCATGCACTCAGGAATTACTCCTGGCGGTGCTTGGGGGACCATATGGGATGCTGGGAATCGAACTTGGGTCAGCCGCATGCAAGGCAAACACCTTACCCGCTGTGCTATCACTCCAGCACCCCCCCATCGTGTTTTTATCATGAAATATGTGACCTTCCAGTACATTGGCCAAGGCTGTAGCTCAGTAATCAAGTATGTATCTCTCGTGTGGAAGGTTTCAGCTCAATCCCCAGCACCACAAAAAATTAATGAAACAGCAATTATCAAAACAAAACTTGCTAATAAATGTGCATATAGGTACAAAATTTTAAAGAATCCATGAGATCCGAGGGCGCTCCGGGGGCTGGAGCCCATGCTTTGCCTATAGGAGGCTGTGGACCCCCGAGCAGTCAGGTGGAACCTCACATAAAAAGTTGTAAAGAAGAAGAACCAGTATTTTGCATGTTTGTGATTCAGTGGTGCTATCCTGTGAAGAACTGTAGTGAACAGTCACACCATGCATATTTGTGGACATCATGACCCTGTCAGCCCAACACTGCAGGCAGCCCAGCCCATGCCCCTCTGTGAGTCGGGCTCGCTGCAGCAGCCAGAACTGAAGAGAGAGTTCCCTGAGGGTGTGAGAGAGCACAGCAATTGAGGTGTTTGGTCCCCCAGAGTGCTAGTACTGACCCCGAGCACAGAACCAGGAGGAAACCCTGTGCCCAGTGTGGCACAAAACAGCCCAGAGAGGTCCTGAGCCCAGTCTGAGGACACTGCTTTGGGAAGCTTCCCACTGGAACTCCTTCCTCTATCCGTGAGAGAAAACTTCCACCCAAAACTTTTCCTCAAGGATGTGAGGACCCGAGGTCGCTCCTGGCTCCAGGGGTGTCTCGCTTCAGTTGACACCACTGCCTCCTGCGATAAATCAACATCCTGAAGATTCCCATCACCTGGACCGACCGACCTTCTGCAGTTAAGCCCATTGCAGTAGTCTACCTGAACAAAGCCTCCCTCACCAGTTCGGAGTCTTTTTTCATCTCTGACCCGTGATTTTCAGCCTGATCCCAGCAGTCACTTCTGGAGCCCAGAATTTGAGTAGATGGGATTTCTAGTTTACAAGCCAGCATTTTGGAATCAAATGTCAAAAGTAAAATCTTCGTCTCTCCTACTTGAAGGTTGTAACTACATGCAAAAGCAAAATACGAGAATGAACAGGAAAAGAATGTATTCCTACAGAGATGACCCCCTACTTGGGACGGCACAGAGGATGCTTGTTTCTGGACATGGGTAGGTAAGCTGTCTACACACTGAGATTTTTGGATAGAATTTTGCAGAGAACAGCTAGCAAGATAATTGTGTCTTTTGTTTCTTGCAGGATGATAGCATACACAGAAAAAGTGTTAGGAAGCAGGGGACGTTTATGACATCACACAAACATTAATATTTCTGTCATCTTGGAATTTAGAAATACATGCAGCTGGAAAAGGAACAGTGTTTTGGAACTAATACCCAGTTGTTCACCAAAAGAAAAATGACTTGCATCCGCTACTGAAAACATGTTACATACACAAATAAGAAATACCAGTACCCTACTACATGGAAAGTATCATGCTAAGCGAAATGAGAAAGAAAGGGACAGACATAGAAAGATTGCATTCATCTGGGGAACATAAAGTAACAAAATAGGAGACTAACACCCAAGAATAGACGAGATAAGTACCAGGAGGTTCATTCCATGGCTTGGAGGCCAGCCGCACACGCTGTGGGAAAAGGCAGCTCAGATAGAGAAGGGAGCACCAAATAAAGGGTGTTGGGAGGATCCTCCCAGGATGGAGAAGCATGCTGAAAGTAGACTATAGACCAAACATGATTGCCACTCAACGCCTCTGTTGCAAACCACATCAGCCAAAAGGAGACAGAGAACAAAAGGGAATACCCTGCCACAGAGGCAGGGTGGGATGGGGGGAATGGGGAGTGGGAGGGATACTGGGGTTCGTGGTGGTGGAGAATGGGCACTGGTGGAGGGGTGGGTGCGCAATCATTCTATAACTGAAACCCAAGCACAAAAATTTGTAAGTCTACAACTGTACCTCATGGTGTTTCACTAATAAAAATTTTTTTAAAAAAATACGACCTAATTCCAGAGCTTGAACAAAAAGTGTATTGGAAATCCTCAAAGCTAGATGCACATTCAAAGCTGCATTGTTAATAGGATTACGGCCTCCCGAGTACATTATTTGCACATCCAAAGATTTACCCCTACTTGTTCATAATGGATTCAGAGATATCTTTTTGAAATGTTGTTTTGTTAAACCGGACCGAGATCTCCCCCAAAGAAATCACATGAAAACAAGTTGTGATGCAAGAAGCAAAGGGTCTATATTGGCCAGCCCTCGTATTACTCACTGACAGTGGCAGCCTTCTCAGAATGAGTGGCCTCAAAAGTGAGGGGCTTTTATACCATAGCACTGTATTGTCACACTGTCACCCTGTTGTTCATCGATTTGCTTGAGCAGGCACCAGTACCATCTCCGTTCGTTCCCTGTTGCATACTAGTGTAGCCCAATGGCATCTGCTCACTCCAGGAACACGAAGTGAGACTTGTTACTGTGTTTGGCATATCAAATACGCCATGGGGAGCTTGCCAGGCTCTGCTGTGCAGGCAGGATACTCTTGGTAGTTTGCCAGGCTCTCCAAGAGGAATGGAGGAATCAAACTCGGGTTGGCCTCATGCAAGGCCTTACCCGCTGTGCTATCGCTCCAGCCATTACCATAACATTATATAACAGGGATTTCCTGCAGACCACCCTTTGGGCCACAGTCTGAGGGGCTTTCCACTACATGTACTTAGCCGATTGCTTGTAAGTTGGAGTTACATAAGGGTTGCATATCAGTGCCATAAGGGTTTTATAGTGGTGGTGGGGTGCTTTTTATAGTGGTGGTGGGGTGCTTCCCTACCTGCATCTGATTGGTAACCCTTAGTTGACCTCACCATGGCTATCTTACTTCAAGGGAAATCATGACTCAATTCCAGGTATTTGTGCTCCATTCTAGAATTCTGGAACTGAAACCTAGACCTAATTTCTAGCTCCTTTCTGAGCCTATTGTGGTGCTGCCTTTGCATTTTTCTCAGTTTGATGTTGCAAAAGTTTTCTTGAAGTACATTTATCTTCCCATTTATTTGGAAAACGTATTAAAAGAAAAATTAAAACTAGTGCACTAAAACTATTGTTTTTTTGTCAAAGTTTCGAGAAGGTATTTTTGATGTGCTCAGTTAATCTTTGGGGCTATATTAGTAGCATGACTTACCTAGACATTATCAGTCATCTTCAAACAAGCAAAAAGAAAAAGTGAAAAAAACTACTTCGATGAATTTCATTTAAATTGATAATTCTTTGCTAGCAGCTGGGTAAAGACTTGAATAGACCAGCAGAGTAGTCTTACATAACTGTAAATGGGGTTTATTGCCCCAAAGAATCACAATTACATCTGAGCACTTTTTGCTGGAGCAATAGCACAGCGGTAGGGCGTTTGCCTTGCACGCAGCCAACATGGCCGACCTGAGTTCGATTCTTCCACCCCTCTCGGAGAGCCCAGCAAGCTGTCGAGAGTATCTTGCCTGCATGGCAGAGCCTGGCAAGCTACCCGTGATGTATTCGATATGCCAAACACAGTAACAACAAAGTCTCCAATGGAGACGTTACTGGGCCCACTAGAGCAAATCAATGAACAACAGGAGGTCAGTGACTCAGTGAACCTCCCCATAGAGACAAAACAAGAAAATAGTATTGAACAATGACTAACATTGGCTAACAAAGCTCAGATTGTGGGGAGTTGGTGAGGGGACTGACTGGCACCAGGTGACATATGGACAGAAGGGGATGAGGGCTCCTGGCGGGGAGGTACAGTGAGTATACATCAGAACACAACAGTATTCAAGCTACTGTAGCCATTTGACCTAAATTAGAACTTGAAATTATAAAAAGCTCAATTTGCTGTGGTCCTGTTGCCTGGCCTCCCCAGGGCCGTTTCGCACTGGACCCCTGGCCTGAGACTCCCTTGAGACCCTGCAGGGACCTTCCTAGTCATGGTGGGGTGAGCCCAAGTTAGAGGCCCCGTAGCCCAGGCTGCATGAGAAGGCGGCTTCTGGCCAATATGCGTGAGGCCCATTTCTGAACTGACCTGAAGGAGGGGCTCCGTACCTCAATGTTCCGAGGCTTTGCTGCTGAGAGCTAGGAGAGCTCAGTACACCAGAAAACCAAGCACAGAAAGAAAGCACCAAGGCATTCTTAGTTTCCACCTTGCTCAGCTGCTTCCACGAGTGTTTCCAGCATGCGACATGGGAATTTTAACAGCACCTCAGCATGAATAAAACTAACCAGCACTGGGAGCCAGAGCAAAGTACAGCAGGAAGGGCACTTACATTCGCATGGCTGGCCGGGCTCGATCCTCAGCATTCCATATGGTCCCTCAGGCCTGCCAGGAGTATTGCCTGAGCACAGAGTGAGGAGTAGGCCCTGAGCACCACTGGGTATGGCCCCGAAACAAAACAAAACCAAAACCACCAGCATCTTTTTGCTTTAAACTTTATTTAGTGCCTGGTATGTAGGAGGCACGATGTTCACACCAGAAAGAATATGCATATAAACAAGGCATAGTTCACAGTCTAGTTTGGAAATCTAGGCACATACACAGTGACTATCGTACAAGGCAGAGAGAGTGAGCAATGCCACAGGGTTGGTACAACTGTAAAACCCAGAGGAGGAAACTGCATTCTGGGGTGTGCATGAGAGATTCGTGAAGGTCCCTTGGAAATGGACGGCTTACAATGACAGGTCAACATAGAGTATTAAAGTAATCCAGGAAGCCCACTGGCCACCTGCTGGTAGTGAACAGGCAGTATAAGCCTTGCTGGAGTCCTGGTAACTGCTGAACTAAGCGGTGAGAGTTGGGGGTGGGGGAGCTAGAGGCATGCTGGGTTCAGTGGGGCGCTTATGTCAGCTAACTACAGGGGGAGTGTTCATTGTTTTGAAAGGTGATCTGATCCAAGTTCTACTTTATACAGTTTAGCTTGGTGGAAATGGTAACTTTCCACAAGGAGAGATTAAGGAAAAGGAGACCAATTTAGAAGGAAGATAAGCTGAACTAGACTAGCGGGGGTGACGGAGATTGCAGAAGTACCAGGGAGAAGATGGGAACAGGATCTGATGTGGCAGTGACTCACAGTGGCACTTAGGGGAGGTAAGAAGAGTGAAGACACGATGGTTCCACGCCTACAAACTGAGTCCTCTTGAGGGCTTGGAAGGCCCTGAGAACGATGGGAAGTGAAGAAGTGAAGACAGGAGAAGTGAGCCGGAGGCTGCACACGGAGCTGGGGCCGAGACTGGAAGGGCAGCCATGCAGTATTGGCAGCTGAAGCCAGGGGGTCACTCAGAGGCAAGGGTGGGAGTGTTAGGGTTTCCTAAAACAGGGATTCTCACAGGAAATTTACAGATGCAGCACGTGAAAGTGCTGTTGCTCATTCTGCGTTCTATCTTCCTCCCAAGAAACCTCTCAGTTCTGAGACGTGAGCAGGTGCCTCCACTGGGGAAGGTCTTTTTAAACAGACTTACAAGAAGCTTTTCAACTTTCTATTATCATTTCTTTTGAAAGAATTTAGTACAGTGAGTTTTCTCGTGGTTTCAGAAAAGCCATTGATGTACCCCACCCTGCTGCATCTACAAGCTGGCACAGACCCCTGTGGCCCTCATTTCCCAGAAAGGTCCAGACTTGCCAAGCATCTGACATGGCAGGAGTCACCAGCCACCCAGTAGGCCTTCTCTGCTCCTGGGTGCTTGGCTACCAACTCAATACACAGAAAGACAGACTGACAGGGAACAGACAAATGACAAAGTAACAGTAGCTGTTGTAGTGGAATAACAGTAGTAGATAACTAAAGTTAAGAGTAATACAGAAACACAATATGGTTCAACTTTTTTCACAGGCGATGAAAAGGAGAAAATGACTTGTTATAAAGGCATTTTTTTTTTGGCCCCATCAACGCTTTTCCAGATCTGCTCAAAAGTTCTTGAAATAGCTGCAAGTAACCAAAAAATATAATAACATATTACTACATTCAATAATCTTTATAGTCAGCTACCATGAAAATGATGGTTTTCTTGCTGGGCATGTAAACATGTAGAAAAGCAGTGTGCAGGAAAATAAGATCAAAAGGAATTAGATCTTAGTTTTATCCATCAGATATTCCCTTTAGAAAAGTTAATGGAATAAAATTCCAATGATTCCATTTACAGAAGAGATGGAATAGAAAGACAATTACTGCCCAAATACATAGGTCCCAGGTACACAGGCAGAGTCTGAAAACCACGTCACCATGGATCACCCAATCACGTGGCAATGCACAGTCTGTCCAGGTCATAGAAAGGCTTGTGGAGGCTCCTTAGCTCCCCCAGACCAGTCTCCCAGCAGCGGCCCTCAGATCTTCAGGAAGATCTTCTTCTTGTAGAGGGCGTAGGCAATGAGCACCCAGATGGCCGTGGCCACGATGTTCTGGGTCAGGTGCTCCCTGTGCGACTGGCTGTCCTCCAGCTTCCACTGGAAGGGAAAGTAGTTTGCAAATACCTCGTGGCCAACATACACCAGAATGGAATTCATTCCTGTGGAGAAACCAGAAATCAGCTTTCCAGAGCCACATTCTATCATCCGTTTGATTCCTAAAATTTGACTTAGCTCAGAGAAAACAAAAGGAATTTCACAACAATGCTTACAATATTATTGGCTATTGCAAAAATAAAGTAGTGCTTAGATTTTAGAAATAATGAGACTGTATTTTGTAACATTATAACTCTTTTACACTAATCCAAGAGGTAAGCCTAATTGATTAACTTCTCTTTTCTAGACAAAACACTTGAGGTCAAAAGAATGTAACATTACTGGAATGAGGGCGAAAGGGAATCTCCGAATGGTCTGGGCTAGTGCCCACTCTTCAGGCAGGACTGCAGGCCAACCATTGCATTTATGTCTTGCTGTTTCTTATGCATGCATTTGGCTAAGCACTGGCATTAGAAGCTCCAGCCTTCCTTCTGAGGCTTTAGGAACTGGGTGGCACATGCTGAGGTTCTGTTGCTCCCCAACCGGAGCAGTGACCCCATTTAAAGGGATGGGAGCTTCGGAACCAGGCTGGTAACACCCTGCATCATTTGGCAGGGGCTTCCTCTCCTTTCTCAGGCTTCCAGGGCTGCCCCTGGCCCTGCATGAACCGGGTGCCCAGCGTGGCCACCATCACCATCTGCACTTGCCTGGGTAAAGGAACGGGGCTCCTGTCCACAGTCCCTTCACATCCACAACGGGGTACAGGATGAGCATGATGAAGAAGGCAAATGCGCTCAGGGTGGTCACGTAGGAAATGGACCTGGGGAAGCAGAAGGACGTGTTTCAGGCCCCAGGGACACCTTCCAATACCAGCATCATCCACTGACCAACAGCCAAAGAACAGTTCTCTACTTACCAGAGATTTTTGTTAATTGGCATAAATCCGTCATTTTCAGAAAATTTCGTCAAAATAGCAGAAATAAGTCCCTATAATTGGGGAAGATGAAAAAGAATATTTACTTTTTAATATTAAATATGACTTACTTTATATATTTACTTTTTAATATAAATTAAAACTTAATTTCAAAAAATTAAGTTTTAAGACCAAAAGAAAATTATAGAATTTTTTCTTATATAGAATTGTTTTTTCCTTTGGGAGGACTGAAAATTTTGTCATGTTATTCTTCTTATAAGAAAGTCATATATTTTAGGGGCTGGAGTGATAGCACAGCGGGTAGGGTGTGTGACTTGCACACGGCTGACCTGGGTTCGATTCCCAGCATCCCACATGGTCCCCCGAGCACCACCAGGGATAATTCCTGAGTGCAGAGACAGGAGTAACCCCTGTGCATCTCCCGGTGTGACCCAAAATGCAAAAAAAAAAAAAAGTCATATATTTTAGATGTATAATCCTTTCCTGCATGCCTCTGAACTGAAAGTAACTAATTCTGCAGGTCGTCCCGATGACTCCTGAGGAAAGTGATGCCAGGTCGGGGAAGTGGCTAACATAGTCAGCTGTGCACGGGGCTGGCACGGTGTATCCCACCTTTCAGCACAGCCCCTTCTGGAGCTCCCAGCATCCCTCTCCCTGCCACTGTCGTCTGTCAGCTGCACGGCTAAAACAGTTTAATTATAGGACACTTTATGAAGAAAAGGAACCTGGGAATTTAGATCTGTTTTTCGCACTTTGTCAAGCAAACATGCTTCCTGCTGCCACATGGCCACAATGTCATTCCAGTGCTACTAAATATTTTTCTTTTCACTATACAAGAGAAGAGTTGGGTAAGGAATGTCAGTTACTTACGAGAGCAAACCACCAGGCACTGAATCTGAGGAGAATTTCTTTGGTCTTATCCTTGAAATACAGGAGTATTTTTCCTGCCTGGAGAAGAAAATGCAGTATGAACCCAAGACTCAAGTAACAACTCTCATTTCATGTTCATCCACTCTCTGAACAGAAGGAACAGGACACAGCCCAGCCCTAGACTAGTGGAGAGGGGGCCCCGGGAACCCCTGAGCAAGGGGGAGGGATGCTGAGAGCACTGCCATCAGGCTGAGGTACCAAGCACAAAGCAGGTAGAGTAAGAAAACAGGCCCAAGGCATGCCTGAGTCAAAAGCAAAGCCACGTCCCAAAGTGCTACAGGGATTCAAAACGCTAGAAGTGGGGGACACGGCATGGGGCTGGGGGCTGCTGGGCTCAGCCTTTCTACTACAGGACATGAGAACTACGGAAAGTCACAGTTCTACCCCCAAAGTAACCCAAAACTAGCTCAGCAGGGTCAAAGATGGGCCGGCTGCCACTTGTGCAGAACAGAGATGGGGCCAGAGTGAGAGTAAAGTGGACAGTGGGCTTGCCTCACAAGCGGCCAACATGGACTCAATCCCCGGCACCCCTGAGCCCACCAGGAATGACCCCTGAGCACAGAGCCAGGAGTAAACCCTGAGAACCACCATGTGTGACCCATCCCCAACCAAAATGAAAGGGAGAAGAGGGAGAATAAGGAGGAGAGGGAGGAGCAGGAGGAAGAGAAAAAAGGAGGAAGGAAGAAGGATGAGGAGAAAGAGGAAGAGAGGAAGGAAAAAGGAAAAAACATTTGAAAAACAGCAAAATCTAAACATTGCATAAAAAATTCCTTAAATGAGGAATTAAACCAACAAAGGAGATGTGCTCATAATATTTTATATTAATACATAAGCCTGCTCAGGCATCTCTCTGCTGGCACAAAACACTTCTCTTGAATGAACTTATTCCTAGGAACATCTTGAAGATGGTGCTGCTGAGAAGCAGGATGAGTGCCAGGCCTGAGGGACTGGGCCAGAAGGGGCAGTGCCATATTCTGCACCCATGGAGAGACCACAGTGGGGTTATGCAGAAGCCCCCAAGGCACATGCCAAGAAACAAAGGCAATATTCTGAATATGAAACGATCTAATCTCCGTAATGTATGTGCTTTAGACCTTCACTATCCAACATGGAGATTCTATTCACATGTGACTATTTCATGTTGCCCAGGAATCAGAGTGTATGTGTGGCATGGAGCCACGTGTAGTCAACTCCTGGCACCGCGTGGTCCCTTGAGCATCGCCAGGTGCAGCCCTGGGGGCCTCATCACCGCGGGGGTGGCCCAATAATCCCAGTCCCAGAGTCTCAGCACCAACCATCCTCAGACCTGGCACCGAGCCACAGGCCCAGTTACCTGAGAGTTGCTGAGCACCCCAAGGACCATCTGGGAAGCCCGCAAAATCAAGAATGAAATTGAAAACCCAGACCCTCCGCCACACTGGCCGCATTTCAGCCACTGGTGAGCTGCATGTGGTCACTTCTGCTCAGATGTGGGTGGTGCCCTCAGATCAAAGAGCCATGGTGGCACTGCTAATCACCATCCTGGACTGGCAAGCACCAAGAAGGGCTTAGAGAGAATAATCAAGGGTGTTCATGATTTTAACAAAGCAGCAGGTAACCCAAAAACACCCTCTGTGGATTCTGGCACCAAGCAAGGACAACGACAGCATGTGCAATGTCCATGAGGAAAGGCAACTTAGACCCGCACGGAAAGTGCAACCTGAAACGCTTGGCTGCGCTTCTAGGATAAGCCAGGTCAACAGTGTTTTGTGAGAATCAGAAATTATACCTAGTTATTAAGTATGCTGAATTTTAGAAGCTTTAACTTAAGAAAATCTTCCAAATTAAGACTGATTTTAGTACGCAGGACCAGTGACCGAAAACTCAAGGCCACATGGAAGAGAGTATGGGCCTCCCTCCCTTGCTCCCCCCCCCCCCCCCCCGCCCCATCTGGTGTCCTGGCTGTCAAACAGATGGCTTCCGGGCACCTTTGATGCCATTAAACACATCAACATCCATGATCCAGAGACTCACAAATGAATCTCAAAAGACAGCAGCTGCCAGAGATGTCCCAGACTCCAATTATTTAAAGTTTTAGACATCCTATACTATTCATAATAAGCAATACAAAATAAATTATTTTAGCATCTGCCTGTGAGGCAGGCTTTAGTGATGGTGAGAAAACTCAAAATAGTGGTGGAGGGAAGGTGTAATGGTGGTGGGATTGGTGTTGAAATATTGAATATAATCAGTTACTGTGAACAACTTTATATGAAAATAAAATTGGGGGGAAAAAAAGACTGATTTTTTTCTATTAGTCCTGTAATACACACAAGGCAGAGTTGCTTTAAAGAAATAGTTATTTTTAATTAGGGAGAATTCAATTGCATACTATACCCTAATGAAATTAAACAAATACCTGAACTCCCAAATATGCCATCATAATTGAGTTGATGGTCCCAAGTATTCCTTCCGGGTCATAGGGCACCTCAGTGTGATACAGCGCCTGGACAAAACAGAACTAGGTCATCCACTCATTGGCACAAGCACAAAACACCTCAGACTAAATGCGAACTGGAGAACATGCAGCACTCAAGTGCTCTGGGGGTCACTACAGAAAGTCACTGGACATTAGGATGATTCTGGCTAAAAAAGTCTGTGAGCCCTGGATGCATGTGGCTGGCAATGTGACATACCCTGTTACTCCTGAGCCCTCTGGGTGGCCCTGTAAATGCCCTGCTGCCTTCTTTCTGTTCAAACCAATTCTAACATCAAGAGCATTATCTTCCTTATACAAGAGCCATGGGAAAATATACCTGTGTTCTGTTAGTGTAGAGCAAACGTGATGCAGACACCGTAGCCTCTGGAGATCTACGAGGTGGTAAAAGCCACCGTGTACCCAGATCCCCCGTCCCACACACTGCATAAAAAAGGCTTCATATCCTCCCTGCCCAGGAGGACTCATGGCCAAACACGCCTGGCCATCTCCGAGGCCAGCCCTGGACTCGTGAGGGTGCTTCTCCATACCCTTGTGCTAGGACAAATCCACATCCAAGCAGGAACATGAAGAGTCTGTTCCGATCCCCAGTGCAGAACAACTCTGCAAGGCAGACTGGCCAGCGTGAGGTCAGCACCGTGCCGTCAGCTGACCTTCTGCCCACAGCTGCTACTCCAGGGCGTCTGTCAGCCGCCAGTGTAAGAGGCTGTCAGAGTGAGCTGGAAGGCAGTCCTGTGGGACCCCCGACCACCCGCCAGAAGTCCTCTGTGCCATCCAGGTGACACAGAACACCTCCCTCTAAAATTCTGTCCCTGGGGCCAGAGTGATAGCACAGTGAATAGGGCGTTTGCCTTGCACATGACCAACCTGGGTTCAATCCAGGCCTGCCATATGGTCCCCTGAGGACCGTTAGGAGTAATTCCTGAGTGCAGAGCCAGAAGCAACCACTGAGCATGGCATGTGACCCCCCCCCTAAAAATTTTTAAAATAAAAAACAAATAAAACCCTGTCCTCTACAAAGCTGTGAAGTCATGAAGCTAGACGACTTTTCCAATCAAACAGAGGTCAGCCTTGTTCCCTAACTGCCACTCACAGCTGGAGAAGGGTGCTGGTAGAGGTGGTCATCGCCCAGGATCAGGCGGTCAATGTAGCCGGCAGCTCCTCCAGTGCAATTGGGGTACTTGCCCCAGTCGCCGATGCCCCCGGGGCCAAGATAACCTCTGGGAAATGAAAGGCAAGATTTAGCAGACCAAAGTCCTACGGGGAAGGCGTGCATGCTCTCCCACAGCCCCGGGGCACACAGAACCAGAGCCTGCTCAGAGGAGGGGATCCAGCACACAGATGTTCTGCCAACACAAAGCATGCATCAAGAGAGACTGGACGAAAAGCAGCCAGCTTACGCGGGGCATCCAGGAACTGGGAGCAGTAAGGTCACACCCAGCCAGATGTTTTCCAGCATCAGGACAATCATCCACTGGGGCCAGTCTGACATGAAGTATCGAAGCATTATGGATCTCTCATCCTGAGTAAGAAGCACAAAAACCACCCGTGAGCTAAAGAGAACTGAATGGTCACATTCCCCAGCATTCCTCTCTTGGCAGCCATACCAAATTATGTGCATGTTTCTTTCTTTTATTGATTTCCTATGTATTTCTTATATCTGCATGCTCTCTATCAAATTCTACTGTAAAATGTTCAGATCAGTAGACAATTCTACTCCTATACCTACGAAGTTCACACATAAACCATTACACAAATGTTTAGAATCATTATTCACAATGGCCAAAAGGACTCACTCAACTGAAAGGTGTTACAGTCATGAAACAGATTCTCCAGCATCAAAAAGGAATCGAAGGTTGGGGGCTGAACAGGGGACGGGGCACATGTTTTGCATTCATAGGACCCTAGTTTGATCCTGGGTACAGGCAGCCCCCTGAGCATCACCAGGGATAGCCTGGAGGTCCCGAGCACCCACAGAACACACACCAGGGCCCAAGCAGCACTGCACTCCTGAACCATCCACCCTGAGGGCCCCATGGGATGGGGCGGGGGGATCAAGTACTGATCCATGGGATAACCAAATAAAGCCTTAAAACAATCTAAGTGAAAGAAGTCATACTTTAAAAAAATCACATGCTGTATGATCCCATTTCTATGAAATGTTTAAAACAGGTAAGGGCTGGCCTGGGAAGTAGCTGGTAATGAGTTACTAGGTTTCTTTCTGGAGAATGTTCTAGAATCTGAGAGTGGGGTTGCCTGCACAGCCCTGAACAAACTAAAGCCCTGAACTTCACAGGTGGAGTTTTAGGGTATGTGAATCATATAAAACCAACACTTAAAGCTGGGCAGCTCTTCTTGGGGCTGGAGAGATAGCACAGCGGGTAGGGCGTTTACCTTGCACGCAGCCAACACAGGTTTGATTCCCAGCATCCCATATGGTCCCCTGAGCACTGCCAGGAGTGATTTCTGAGTGCAGAGCCAGGAGTAACCCCTGTGCATTGCCAAATGTGACCCAAAAAGCAAAAAAAAAAAAAAAAAAAATGCTGGGCAGCTCTTTTAGTAGAACAAGAAGGGAGAGAGCCTTTCTTGGAGTGCTGCCCGCCCCCCTGCTCTGTGCTGGGTCCCTCAAGCCTGCACCCCGCTCCCCTCGGTCACATGCAGCTGGCCGTGCAAGAGCTCCCTTCTGCATCACTAGTTTCACTTCCCTTAGGGTTTCCCTTAAAGAAATCTATGGGAAAGCACCGCTACACACTCAGGGAGAGTGGATACAGCAGAGTAATATTAAATGTACTCCAAGGAACATACAACAGAACAACCATTACAAGAAGAGCCAAAAGAATTGGAGATTCAATGCTGAACTTGCTAGTTGTATAAAGGGAAAGAAACTAGAAACCAAATCCAGCTTTATTAATTGATATAGCAAGATAAGAGCCTAATAAAACAGTTTAAATAGTTTCAGTCATTTTTACTTCTACTGAGAGAATCAAAATTGTCATGGGCCAGAGAGATAGTACCACAGGTAGGGTGCTTACCTAGCATCCACTGACCTAAGTTTGGGCCGTGGCACCTAAGTTTGGACGCTGAGCCTGTAAGGGTGAACCCTGAGCAACTGATCCCTGAGCAGAGTCAGGAGTAAGCCCTGAACAATGTTGGGTGTGGGCCCAAAATAATTGTGTGTGTGTGAATAAATATGTAGGGTAGCTCCTGGTGGTATTCAGAGGACCACGTGGTGCCAGGGTCAAACCTAGGGCTTCTTGCATACGAAGCATGTGCTCAGCCCACTGAGCTAACTTTCTGGCCCTTTCAAAGTTGAAACCTTACTGAGTTTGTATGGATAATGAAATGTTACATGCATTTCTATATATTCTGTGCCATAAGAAAACTGGAAAAGGAGCCTGATAGTACAGCGGGTAGAGTATCTGCCTTGCAAACAATTCAAATTAAATTTGCACTTGATTAAAGTGATTTTCCTCTCCCCTTAAAAACAGGCCTTCTCACCAAATCACAGTTGCTGTCGGGCGCAGGTTTGGCAAAGATAAGCTCCAGCACAGCGACCACAAAGTAGGTCACCCCCAGGCGCTGAAGCACGCCGGGGATGCGGATCTTCTCCCAGGACACTGCAGAAGGGACAGGTCAGGCAAGGGTTAGCCAGCAAGTCTCACTTCCCCCAAGGCAACACTATGTTCTCCTGAGGGCAAAGATTCCTCCTGTGACACATAAGCAGGCCTCTTTCTGCTTCTAAGATGGACAAACCGAGTCTAGGCACAGGCCAATATCAAACAGGATGGCCAGACCCTGGCTTAGAATCCCAGTAGGAAATCGGCTAGCAGGAAGACTGAGAGACTAACACAATGTCTTCCTTGAGTGTGGAAAGAAGTTAGGACCAGCCCTGGCCCTAAGGTTCACCTTGGAGTACCCCTTTCCCCAGCAGGAGCAACAATCCACCTCTCACAGCAAGCAGGAATGTGTAGAGCCAGCACAGCCATGGCCAGACTCTGCCCCATGAGCCATGTAGAGTGTGCATGGCCCGCTGGAGGAGTGCCATATCCTGGGAGAGGGTCCCCTGTGGGACTCCAGCGAGTCTACCTTATGTGAACCTTGCCCCATGTACCCAACTCCCTTCTGGACCTGAAGTTCGTGGTTCTGGCATCCGGTGCCCATCTGGCTGCTCTCATTTCTAATGAAGTTTCCAACCCAGTGGCTATACACCTTACCAACTGCATGCTAATACTAAGCACTGCACTTACCTCCGTTCCCCAGCTTTGCTCCCTCACACCCTGAAACTATAACAAAGTCACCAAAGAAATTGCAAAGGTGGATTCTTGGTCTTATAATGGAAGCTGATGGAACCAAAGTGGCAAGGTGGCAGCCTCTGAGAATCAGATGACGTGGTCCCTCCCCCTCACTACACAGATACGTCCAAAGCCATTTTCCCAGTGTAACAGAAGGGCTGCCTCACCTCAGAGGCTCCTCCTGGATCTAAAACTCCAAAGTAATAAAACAATGCCCTAATTTGCACAGGCATTATTTATACTTTCCTAACAACTGGTTGGGTTGTTTTGGATTGGTTTTTGTTTTTTTCCAAGTACCCGAGATTGGAGGAATTATATTTCTCTCAAAGCAGAACAGTTTCCATATTTCAACCTAGATATATTCTACAGACGCAGATAAGTACTTACATGGACCAACGCAGTAATTGGGGTTCACAATGACAATTCCTATGTATATTAACAGCAAACTCCTCCATACAATTTTCCCAAACAGTTTGAGTTTTGAATATCCCCGCCGCAGTACAGAATTCATGGACAGAAAAATTGAAGTTCCCATAATAAAGACAAACCTTAAAAAAAAAAAAAAGCTACTGTCAGGTTCCAAGTTTGTTTGTGTTTGGGTCTATGGAGAATTAATATTTTATAATTTACTGTATAAAAGAAGCACGTGTATGTTTTCCAGGTAGCCAGTGCTTCAAAGAACCTCAGTGTAAGAGGGAGGGAGATTCAGAAAGGGCCGTGTTCCTCCAGGCTTCCCTGAGGGAAAAAAACTCCTCAGAACTAACAGGAACTTTCAAGCTGTCACTATCACTTAGTTATTTATGGCAAGGAATGGTGCTGGGGGCCCCAATTCCCAGCAGCTGGCCATGCCAATGAGCCCCTGGTGCTCCTCAAAAGGAACCACACTTGGCACTGCTAAATTCACTCTTGCTCCTGAAATAAAAAGAAAAGCTTTAACTTTTTTTCTTCTTATTTTTTCTAAGCCACAATCACTTCCATTTCTTTTCTTTCACAATAGCAAATTACCTCTTTGAAAAAGGGGAGGGGACCAGTGAGAAGATAGTACAGCAGGTAAAGTGCTTGTCTTGCACACAGCCGACCCAGGCTTGATCCCTGGCATCCCATGGCCCCCCAAACACCACCAGGAGTAATTTCAGCATGCAGAGCTAGGAGGAACCCCTGAGCAACACTGGATATGGTTAAAAAACAAACAAAAAACATTTTTAAAAAAAGTTAGAATGACATTTATCTAAATATTTGGTGAGGACCAGGGCAACTCAGAGGGGGTGAGACTGAGTTTCCCTCCCCACCCCAACAGAGCCCTGGCAGCTGAAAACCTCCAGAAGGCAACCACCACCATGCTCACAGCTGCTCTCTACAGGCTCAGACAAGTTTTACCCATGAGTGAATCTGCAGAAAAACCCAAGTTATGCGGGAACCATGGCTGAGAGCTCCAAGCCTGTTTGGATTGAGACTGGGACCCTTCCCCCAGCTCCCTAGTTTTCCAGTAGCTTGGCAGTCACACCCACCCCCCACCCCACCCCCCGTGCCATATAATCTCATGAACAGCCAAAATCCAGAGACTTTGAAATAAAGCTCCCGGAAGAGAGCGACATCGGCCTCACCCATTACTGAATCTGCTCTATAATCGTATTCCAAGTTTTAGAATTCCTGGAGCGCGTGACAGCATTTGCAGCTGCACAACCTCTCATCCTCTACATCACTGTTGTACCAAGCTTTGGGAGGGGGCACATTTTGGGATTTGGGGTGGAAACATTCAAAATATGGCGGTGAAAAGGTGCAATGGTGGTGGAATTGGTGTCTGAATATTAAATGTAATGAATTAGTGTGAACAACTTTATAAAAATAAAATAAAATTTAAGATAAAAAAATAAATATTTGGTGAGGATTACAAAATTAGAGTTTTTTGCTGCTGGAAGTAGGGGTTCCTTAAGCACATCATGGATGTGCAAAGACACTAACATGCTCAGGTACTCAATTATTATTTTATAACTTTGTCATTAACACTGCCCTATCACATACTCATAAGAATTCTATGATGCCAATATTCTTCATGTCCTTAGAAAATATGACTTCCACACTTATTTTCAGGATTAGTAGAATTTAACTACGTGCTCAGAATTTATAATTTCTTACATGATTTTAGGATTTTGTAGGTTGTTTTCACACTAATAAGAAGTTTCCTACAAAATGCTCATTTTTTGCCACACCTGGCTGTGCTCAGGGCTGACTCCTAGCAAGCTCAGAGAACCACATGGGGGAGTGGGGATGGAATTCTGGTTGGCTGTGTGCAAACCCACCTACTGTACTCTGTCCAGCCACCCCACTCATCTCTTATAGGTCCATGTCTTAGATATGCACTAGGCCAACTAACACAATTTCCAGAAGAATCTCTCAGTGGCAGAGGTCTGTGAGTGATAAAGGCCTCAAGTCCAGAACTCAATGCTGGTCTCAGAGCATCAGCCAAAAAAAAAACAAACTGAAGAGGTTTTACCTACGGGAGATTGGGGAAGCTGACAACTTACCAAGGAAACACAAGGTCAGCCACAGTCAGTCCTGAAAAACAACCACAAGCATAAACAGTGAGAAAGACCAGGATGAAAGGCTCTGGAAAGTTCATCCGAGAAAACAGACAAACCCTGGGAAATACCCACCCTGACCCCGCCCTACCCCAGGAAAGCTGCAAGCAGTCAAGGAAGAGGTTCCCAATTATTAGGTCCACCACCCCCTTTTCAGGAAAAAAACACTCAGTGCCAGCTGAAAATCTCCCTTCTTTAACTTAACAAATAGGAAGTGGTCCCCAATGGCACTCAAGGCCAACGCCCCCCCCCCCCCCACACACACACACACACGCACACACTAACCCATTCTAGGAATCTCACACTTTGGGAAACACTGCACACTAGAGCTCTGCCCAGGAAAAATCACATGAAGGCAGGTGGACACACTTGCCAGTTCTAAGTGATTTTCTTCAAATTCTATCAAAATCAGAGCCACAGGCCAGAGCGATACTACTCTGGGATAGGGTTTTTGCCACACACAAGGCCAACTGCGTTCAAAACACAGTGTCCCATATGTTCCCCCCAGCCCCATCAGGAGTAATTCCTGAATGGAGACCCAGGAGTAATCCCTGAGCATGGCCAAGTATGGCCCAAAAAACTAACCAAAGTACCCAGATTCAGTCATTGCTCAACAGCACTCAGAACAATGCAATTACACCTCAAGGACACCAACCAGTCCTAGATGCAGAACTTCCCCAGTGACTGTGACAAAAGGCACAGCTACAATATGACAAGGGTGACTTAGAAGTCAACTTGTAGCTATACACTCTCAGCAAAGAACACTGGAGCTTAAATGCTGTTAGAGCCAAGTGCTATAGAGCCACACCCAGGAAAGGAAGCACCAAACAAGGGGTTTAGAGAAAACTCCCCAACACCCAAGCCAGCATAGCCTCAGTGTCAACAGGCCTGTCAGCTCTTCAGCCACCTGCTGCTCTGCTCACTCTGCGGGGTTCTAGGGAAGCAGCTTACCGTTCCAGCTCGCATGCTTGAAATACCAATATTTGCCTCCTCCGTAATTAACAAAAATCATGAGGACAAGAGCTATCCTAGAAAACAACAAAGAACACAATCTCAGGACTGCACAAGTGACGGGCAAATAGAGTGCTCCGACAAGGTCACACAAGGTCACAATCTCAACAAGAGCGCTCCCGACACACAAGGTCACAGTCACGATGAGAGTGCTCCAGACACACAGGAGGACACAGTCGCAATGAGGGCACTCCCTACACACAAGCTCACACATCACAATGCAGTGCACCTTGGAGAGCAAAGAATTATATGTCTTTTTTTTTTTTTTTTTTGCTTTTTGGGTCACACCCGGCAATGCACTGGGGTTACTCCTGGCTCTGCACTCAGGAGTCACTCCTGGTGGTGCTCAGGGGACCATATGGGATGCTGGGAATCGAACCCGGGTCAGTCGTGTGCAAGGCAAACGCCCTACCCATTGCATATCACTCCAGCCCCAAGGAACTTCATTTCTAGTTTTTCTAGTCACGTCATTTAGAATCTTACACTAAAGTATTTCTGCTGCCTACGTGTCCAGAACTGCAGCAATAGGACAGCGGGTAGGGCATTTGCCTTGCACATGGCTGACCCAGGTTCGATTCCTCCAACCCTCTCGGAGAGCCCGGCAAGCTACCAAGAGTATCCCGCCCGCATGGCAAAGACTGGCAAGCTACCCATGATGTATTCGATATACCAAAAACAGTAATAAGTCTCACAATGGAGACTTTACTGATGCCCGCTTGAGCAAACAGATGAACAATGGGAGGACAAGTACTACAGTGCTACATGTCCAGAAATTTCATCTCTTTACACAATGGAGTACTATGTAGCTGTTAGAAAAGATCAAGTCATGAAATTTTCATACATGTGGTACTACATGGAAAGTATCATGATAAGTGAAATGAGTCAGAAAGAAAGGGATAGACATAGAAAGATTGTATTCATCTGGGGAACATAAAGTAACAAAATAGGAGACTAACACCCAAGAATGGCAGAGATTAGTACCAGGAATTTTGCTCCATGGCTTAGAGGCCAGCCACACATGCTAGGGGAAAAGGGAGCTCAGATAGAGAAGGGAGCAACAAATAAAGGGTGTTGGGAGGATCCACCCAGGATGGGAGAAGCATGCTGAAAGTAGACTATCGACCAAACATGATTGCCATTCAATGCCTCTCTTGCAAACCATAGGACCCAAAAGGAGAGAGAGAACAAAAGGGAATGCCCTGCCACAGAGGCAGGGTAGGATGGGGGAGATGTGGGGTGGGAGGGATACTGGGATCCGTGGTGGTGGGAAATGGGCACTGGTGGAGAAATGGGTATTTGATCATTGTATAATTGAAACCCAAGCACAAAAATTTATAAGTCTACAACTGCACCTCATGGTGTCTCATTAATAAAAATTAAAAAAAAAAAACAACAAGGGCTGGAGAAATGGTACAGGAGGTAAGGTACTTGCCTTGCATACAGCTACAGCAGGCATACAACCTGCTTCAAATCCCTGGCGCTGCAGATGGCTGCCCTGATGACTTCCAGAGGGGGTCACTACTGATCATGGGCCAGGTGCAGCCCAACCCCATTCCCCATTCCCCAGCCCCACAAAGAAAGAAAAATCTAGATTGGCACTAAACAACCTGAAAACAAAACACTTCCCAAACATTTCCAACAGAAAGCAAACGACCGCTAATTTCCTAACACATGCCTCAGTGTACGAGTGTCAGGGCCAGAGAGTTCAGGCCAGTGCTTGTTCAGGAGTGCTAGGGAAACACCCAGCTGTGCAGTGCTGGGTAGAAATCTCAGTGCCTCACAGTGCCATTCATACACCTGACCAGGTGAGTACTCTCTCCAGCCCAAAAAATCAAAAACCTACTTTCTGGGGAGTGGAGGGCTGGTACCAAAGCTGACTGTGCTCAGGGCTTATTCTGAGCTCTGAGCTTAGTTTTTGGGTTTTTTTGCTTTGTTTTTTTTAAATTTTTTTGGCTTCTGGGGCCACACCCAGCGATGTTCGGGACTTACTCCTGGCTCTGCACTCAGAAATTACTCCTGGTGGTGCTGGGGGGGAGGGGGCAGGGGAGAGCATATGGTATGCCAGGGATCAAACCTGGGTTGGCCACATGCAAGTCAAATGCCCTCTTGCTCTGTTATTGCTCCAGCCCCACTTTGGGCCTAGACTGGGGTGCCAGGGATTGGACCAGGTTTCGCCATGGCAAGGCAAGTAATAATACCCACTATATTATCTCTCTGGCATAAGAAATTCAATGTTTTTTCAAAAAAACAAATAATTAGCTTATCAATGTTACCTCAATAAAAATAAATAAAGGAATTAAGTTAAAGCACTCTCTGGCAACATAGTAAGAACTCAGAAGTTATTGGCTATTGTTACTATGATCCTTACTATTGCCAGCTTTCACTATATACCCCAGGTAATATTACCATTAGAGTTTAAAGGCCTCAGTTAGGCTAGGGTAGCAGACACACCTGTCTTGTGTGAGGTTTGAGTTTGAGCTGCCAAAAGCACCACTAAAAGAGGCCCCAGGGAGTGTAGCTGCAATAAAATAATTTCTTAAAGGTCTTTTGGACATTCCTCAAAAAACTAGAAATTGAGTTTCCTAAGACCCAGCAATACCACTCTTAGGAAAACACACTATGAGCCCAAAGAACACAATACAGAAACTCCATCTGCACTCCCATGATCACTGCAGCACTGTTCATGATAACCAGAAGCTGGAAACAACCTGGGTGCCCGAGAACAGATGACTGGATGAAGAAACTACGGCACATCTACACAGTGAAACACCATGCAGCTGTTAGGAAAAATGAAGTCATGGAATTTGCTTATATATGAAAGGATATGGATATGGAAGAAGACCTCCGGTTCCAGCTACAGCCATGCTTAAGACCACCCTCCACACGTTCGGACAAGCCTTAGACATGAAGGAACCGGCAGAGGAACCCAGGTGTATAGGACCCAGGGCATAGATCTCCAAGCCTGCTCGGATTGGGACTGGGCCTCCTTCACCCAGATCCCCCATCTTCCAGTATGTAGGCGTTTACACCCACCAACTGCCTCAGCACCGTGTAATCCCATCAATGGCCAAAACCCAGAGACTATAAAACCCAGTTCCCGGACATCTTATTATCTAGTTCTTACTCTGGAGAACCTGACAGGCTACCAAAAGTTTCCTGCCCACATGGCAGAGTCTGGCAAACTCCCCGTGGCATATTCAATTTGTCAAAAACCAGTAACAATGATGGGTCTCAGTCTCCTGACCCTGAATGAGCCTCGAATGTGGAACTTTCTAAAATCTCAGGGCTAGGACGAAGGAGACGTTACTGGTGCCTGTTCGAGGAAATCTATGAACAGGATGACAGTGATACAGTGATACAGTGATGGAAGAATCATGCTGAGTGGAATGAGTGAAAGGGAGAGGGACTGAATGATTGCACTCATTTGCAGGATATAAAGAAAAAAAGTTTGATAAAAATGCCCAAAGACATTAAAAATGAGGAGCAGAGGGCTGGTTCATGGTAGGAAACTTGCCACAAGTGACAGTTAGGACAGAGGGACCACTATGACAATGATAATCGGAAATAAACACTCTGGACAAGAACTGAGTGCTGAAAGGAGGCAAAGTGACATGCATGATACCCTTTCAGTAGGGCGGGGGAAAATGTGAGAGAGACAGAGAGGAATCTGCCCTAGAGGCGGGCTGGAGGAGGGCTGGAGGGAACTGGGAAGAGGGGTGGTGGGAAATGTACGCTGGTAAAGGCACGGTGTTGGAACACTGTATGACTGAAACCCGATCATGAACCGCTCGTAACTGCTTTTCACGGTGATTCAATGAAAAAATATATAAATAAAAATAATAATAATTTCTTAAAAGTCTTTTTGATAGAAATGGAAGACCCTATACCTATATATTGATTTTCAGCCACATAGTTTCATTATTTCTAGACTCTGGTCCTGGCCTTTATTCTTCTACCACAGTAAAGGTAGCACTATAGCACTGTCCTCCTGTTGTTCATCGATTTGCTCGAGTGGGCACCAGTAACGTCTTCATTGTGAGATCTGTTACTGTTTTTGGCGTATCGAACATGCCACAGGGAGCTTGCCATGCTCTGCCATGCAGACAGGATACTCTTAGTAGCTTGCTGGGCTCTCCAAGAGGGACGGAGGAATCGAACCTGCATTGGCCACGTGCAAGGCAAATGCCCTACCCACTGTGCTGTTGCTCCAGTAAAGGTAGAAACCATAATTGACCTCAGGATCTGTGGTTTTGCTACCAAATTTAATATTCTCGCTGTTTTGCAAGTAATGCTGAAGGATGAAAACTTCCATCCACCAGTGTTTCCCTCCTAGGCTGGAGTCTTATTTGTCAAGCTACTGTCTGGACATGTGGATGCAGATTGTAACTCCAAGTATAACCTCATAAGGAACTATTAAAGACCTAGACTCAGCATAGTGGAAGCTTACCTGGCCATGTGGACATAGCTTTCTAGCAACACACTACATGACAACTATAGCAGTGTTCAAGTGAAGAGAGGCTGCTGAGTTAAAGAATTTTCCAAAGGACTATAGAGACAGATGAAAGGGTGCTGCATGCAGGAGTACATGGTCCCACCAGCAACCCTAGGTGTGGCTCCTGGGAAGTTCCGACCCACTCCTTAAAAAAAATTACTTTGGGGGCTGGAGAGATAGCACAGCAGGTAGGGTGTTTGCCTTGCATGCAGCCAACCCGGGTTCAAGTCCCTGTATCCCATATAGTACCCCGAGCACCGCCAGGAGTAAGTCCTGAGTGCAGAGCCAGGAGTAACCCCTGTGCATCGCCAGGTGTGACCCAAAAAGCAAAAAAAAAATAAAATTTACTTTTAGTCTAGAAAGTAAAAACTGTACAAAAGCGCTTTAAGTTAAAAAGCATGAGTAGGGGCTGGAGCGATAGCACAGCGGGTAGGGTGTTTGCCTTGCTCGTGGGCCAACCCAGGTTCGATTCCCAGCATCCCATACGGTCCCCCGAGCATGGCCAGGAGTAATTCCTGAGTGCATGAACCAGGAGTACCCCTGTGCATCACTGGGTGTGACCCAAAAAGGAGAAAAAAAGGCATGACTATCTAAGATAGGTAATAATGGTTCAACTGTATGTAAGGAATTAAGATTTGGACTTTCAACTATGAATTAATGTGGAAACAGACGCAGATTACAATGATGCACACCCGAATCTTACATGGTATTATAATACAATAGTCAAACTGTCAGACCAGAGAGACAGTTCAGCAGATACGGTGTTTGCCTTGCATGAGATCAACCCAGGTTTACCACCAGCATTACATGTGGGCCCCTGAGCCCACCAGGGGTGATCCCTAAGCACAAGTGAAGAGTAAGCCCTGAGCAGTCAGCTGTGACCCAAATGCAAACAAAAATACTGGAATTGCCACCTACATAAATAAAACGTGTGTTTGTGTTTTATTTACACAAGCTGAGAGCACCTGTACCTCCCGTGCACACTTACCCCCTGAACGTGTCCACACAGCGGTAGCGCGGGACGGCAGACGGAGATGCTGTTTCAGACTGGGTGTCAGGGCCACCGAGGGGGCCTGCCCTGCTCGGAGCTCCCAGCTCCTTCAGGAAAAGGGAAAGAGACGTGATGGCTCCTACTGCCTGAACTAAATATCCTCCTAATATTAGAAAAAAAATAAACCGAGGGGAAAACTGGGAAGAACTTATTCTGAATAATTTGCTGTTGTGAATCTACTATCTTGTGATTTGGTTTGCCCCTTTATTTGGCTCTTACACATTCTGCTGAGCTTGCAGTGGCCACAGTGGCAAAGGACCACAAAGAACTGACCCATAAATTCACTGGGTATAAGCAAAAAGATGTCTACAGCTAAACTTAACTATTTCCTTGATGAATCTATTAAAACAAATAAAGACGCTAAATCTCTGCTTTTGTAAGTTTAATATTAATGTTACTCTTTTGTTTTTATCTTGACCCTCTTGACTTAACTAATTAAATCAAGAGAGCAAGAAAAATATGTCCACTCTCATGCCCCCACCCGTCCCCATGGGACCCTGGAGGTGATGCCCACAAACTGCCTCTGGCTGCTACTTAAGCTCTTCAAGGGCGATGATGCAGAGACACAAAAGAATCTCTGAACTGAGCAGCTCGCTGCAGAGATGCCTCCAGACTTTAAGCCAGGCCGACTTCGCTGACGTGCCTCAGACCTTAATTATCTAAAATTTTAGAATTCCAGGAGTGTGCAGCAGCAAGAGCAGCCGTGCTATATCTTATGCTATTCATAACAAGCAATACAAAAGAGAGTATGGGAGAGATTGCCATAGAGGTAGGGGGAGGGCTGAGATGGGGGGATACTGGGGACCTTGGGGGTGGGAGATATGCACTGGTGGAGGGTTGGTAATCAATCATTGTGTGACTGAAACTCAAACAGGAAAAATTTGTAACTGCATCTCACGGTGATTCAGTAAAAATTAATAAATGGGGAAAAAAAGAAAAAGAAGTCCACAATGTGCAGCACAGTGCAGTTAGAAGCCCAGGCTCCCAGGAGGGAGGGCGGGGAGAAAGCTGCTCTCGTGAGCGTGCAGGGCCTCCTCGGTGCCAGCGAGGCACCGATGTGGAGCACTGAACAAAAGCTGCCTGCTAAATCTAGAAACCCACACACCACATTGATTAACTCACAGAATTGATGAGCCGATCCGTTTCCCGAGAATGCATTGCTTTAGAAATCCAGTTATTAAAGTCATCCAAGCTGGAAATGAAGAAGAGTTTCCATTGTATTATACTCCTTGGTAAAATTTTCAAAAATAATTGGTTTGTATACTAAAAAATGTATATGCTCTCTAAGTCAAAGAACTATATATTTTACAGTTTAACATAACAAAAATAAAAGCTTGAGCTTTTAGCAATGGTGCTTATAAATATGTGACAGAGAAAGCAGTTTACTCACTCACATACAATAGGAATGAACAAGGTAGAGCCTCATTAAGAATTATCATGAGAATCATCATTATTTCTTGTGGAGGAATGTTTTTTTTTTTTTTTGGCTTTTTGGGTCATACCTGGAAATGCACTGGGGTTACTCCTAGCTCTGCACTCAGGAATTACACCTGGCAGTGCTCGGGGGACCATATGGGATGCTGGGGATCGAACCCGGGTTGGCTGCATGCAAGGCAAATGCCCTACCCACTGTGCTATCACTCCAGCCCCAGAAATTCTTTTATTACACTACTGAAATGGGGTTAACAAAAAATTACACCAACAAACAAATTCACTCAATGCAGAAGTAAACAGAAATTAACTCCACACTTTCTCACTATAAAACTGAAATTTATCCTTGCATATGCACATAAGAACCATATGATCTATAACAGCTATTAAGAATGTCTTTATTCATACAAAGCATATATATAACTACAAAAAGCAAAAATTCCAAAATACTCAGGCTTTGTTACAATTAAATAAAAATACATGTATAAATAGTGAGAAAGTATGAAAGCGCTTCTAGAGTATTTCAGATAGTTGGAAGCTCTTTTTTTGTAGATAGCTGCTCTAGTTGGGCTGGCGCAATAGCACAGCGGGTAGGGTGTTTGCCTTGCAAGCGGCCAACATGGCCGACTCGAGTTTGATTCCTCCACCCCTCTTGAAGAGCCCGGCATGCTACCGAGAGTATCTCTCCCCCATGGCAAAGCCTGGCAAGCTATCCGTGATGTATTCGATATGCCAAACACAGTAACAATTGTCACAATGGAGACGTTACTGGGCCCACTCGAGCAAATTAATGAACAACGGGAGAACAGTGACAGTGACAGCTGCTTTAGTTCAAAATAATATTCAGGGCTAGAGAGCTAATACAAGGGCACTTGTCTGGCACACTGCCTCCTCGATTCACTCCCCAGCATACCTAGTGGCCCCCCAGCCCTGCTAGGAGTAATACCTAGGCTTAGAGCCAGGGGTACACCTTGAGCACTTCCAGGTGTGTCCAGAACCAAAAAAGCAAAACCAACCCGGATATAAATTGACGTTGATTTTCACAATAACAAAAATATAAATATAGTGCCAGGGAGGTGGTTCAAAGGACTTTGCAGGCTTTGCAGGACAGGAGGTCCAAGTTCAAAGACATGAACAGCCTAAAGCACCACCAGGAGCAAACCCTGAGCAGTGATGACATGACCCCAAAACCAAAGCGAAAGAGGAAATTCGAAGACAAAGTGCCACAGTGACAGCACAATGACAGGGCACTGTGGCTTGATGGGAGCTGACTTGGGTCCCATTCCTGCCCCCCCCCCCACACCCCGGAGTGATCCCTGAGTCCAGAGCCATGAGCAAGCTCTTAGCACTACTGGGTGTGGCCCAAAAAGTAAAACAAACAAACAAAAACCCTAAATAATACAGACTGTTTTTCTTTAAAATAAATTTTTTATTTGGAAAAAAAATTCAATTTGAAACAAGTATCTCAAGAAGTATATCTTAGCCTGGTCAAAAAAAAAAAAAAACATATGCATATGTTCTATACAGACTGCCTGTCCAAATTACCCAGAGCGTCATTTTTCCATCTGTTTTGTTTTGTTTCATTTGGGGGCCAAACCTGGCTGTGCTCAGGGTGACTACTGGTTCTGCACTTAAGGGGAATCCTATGGGACATTGAAGGTGGAAGCTAGGTTGGCCGGATGCCAGGCAGACGCCTACCTGCCCTACTGACGCTCCCGCCCTAGCTCCTCCTTCCTGTTTTCTTTTTCTTGCGTAGGGTCAGTCCATTTGCACTTTCTCCCTGCCCTGGTTGATTATTTCGAAGAAAACCCCAGAGGAAGTGACAGTACAGTGGGTCCACCGGGGGGATCTCAGCACAGAGCCAGGAGGAAGTCCTGAGCACAGTCAGATGTGGCCCCCAAACGAAACAGGAGAAAAAAAACCTGACACATCTTTTTAGGATAAAAGACATATCATATTTTCTATCCAAGTGTTTCAGTGTGTTCTGATTCAAGATAAGGATTATTTTTAACCATAATTATATTATACACACTTAAAATATAACAACTCCTTAGCATCATAAAATATTTTCCTTATCTCATGCTTCTTCTAGAGTTTAATTGTTTAAATAAGTATCCATTATAATCTGCGTATGAAATATTATTTCTATATATTTATGTATAATACTATAATGTATACGTGTACACACACACACACACACACACACACACACACACACACACACACTCCTGGCTCTGTTCTCAGGGATCACTTCTGAGAAGACTAAGGGGACATACATGGTGTTGGGGATTAAACCCAGGCTGGTTGTATGCAAGGCAAGCATCTTATCCATTGTACTATCTCTCTGGCCTCCATTACCTATATTTTTAAGTTTCTTCAACTTTTTCCTTCTACAACTCAATTAAAACTTCTAGTTTTTTTCAGCACTGAATATCATCATCACACTCACCAAAATAATGTAAAAATAGTCAGAACAGAGCAAAACACCCCTGAACTGTGTTGGCTTGCTGGGAGGGAAAGGAACTCAACCTTGTCCACAACAGCCTCTGCCCTAAGGTCACAAATGCAGACACATGTGCCAGGAGTTTCAGTTCCACAATGAGAGTGGAGTTGCTTCTTTTTGTTTTGATATCTCCTATCAATTATTTTATAACCTGATGTAATAGACCCATCCATCTTGGAAACACCCTAATAAATGAGAAAGACATCTGCAACCTATCAAAAGACAAAACAACAACTTCATTCAAAGGAAGGAAATTCCTATTGTGGTTCATACTCTGGCCCTAACGAGCGAGCAGTTAGGGAATTGAAGAGACAAAATAGGGGTGAAGGTGCTGCCTTACATGCTGGTTTAATCCCTGTCACACACATGATTCTTTACCCTCCCAAGCACCGCCAAAGATCACTCCTGAGATGGCCAGGTATAGCCTCCCCTCCCAAAAAAACCTCAAGCAGGTGCGGGATAGCTACAGATCTAAACTACAAAGTCAACAGTACTGGAAGCATGAGATCCAAACTACAATAATCAGATTCAAAAATGTACCTGTCAGGGAGCAGGAGGGATGGGAGGGGAGCTGGGGATGTTAGTGGAGGGAAGTCAACACTGGTGATGACCGGTCTTGGGAAACTGAACTCCTGAAAGCCAACTATGAGTGACTAAGGAAATAATGGTGTCAATATTTTTTTAAAAATTTGAGAAGAAAATTTCAATCAATATAATAGAGCATGTCAGCAAGCTACAGGAGAAAAATGATATCAATGATATAAGTTTGATGTGAAAAAAAAAACACTTTGTGAAACCCAATGTTGATTCAAGATAAAACCTTCAGGTAGTGGGGCTGTAGCAATAGCACAGCAGGTAGGGCATTTGCCTTACATGTGGCTGACCCAGGGTTAGATTCCCAGCATCCCATAAGGTCCCCCGAGCACCACCACCAGGAGTAATTCCTGTCCATCGCTGGGTGTGACTCAAAATGCAAAAAACAAACCCCCCCAAGAAAAACAAATGACCCAAAGTGCAAAAAGAAACAAAAAAACTTTCAATAAATTAGGAAATGAGAGAAACAGTTACATTTGATAAATAAACAGCATCTATAAAACCCCTAAGAAGCTAAGATTGTACTTAATGATGAAAAAATCAATGTGGTATTTTGTTTTGTTTTTTTAATGAGTTAGGGTCTTTTACTGAACAAACTCCACGGAATTAACTCTTTCTGAGATGCACTATGTAGTAAACTCCCAAAGACTTCCCTAAACTGCATACCTGGGGAAAGGCCAGCTCTCCCAGCTCACCAGGGAAGTCCTGCATCTCTCCTGAGATCCTGAAAGGCTGGCCATGTAAAAATCCAGTCAGTGATTTTTTTTTTCCTTTTAAAAAATTAGGAAATCTTCCTTTAAAAGGTAATTTACTGAGACCAGAGAGATAGTATAGTGAGTAGGGCGTTTGCTTTGCATGCAGCTAACCCAGGTTCGATCCCTGGCATCCCATACTGTCTCTGAGGACTGCCAGAAGTAATGTCTGAATCCAAATCCAGGAGTAACCCCTGAGCATCACCAGTATGACCCAGAAGCAAAAAAGCAAAAAAGCAAAAAAAAAAAAAAAAAAAAAAAAAAGGCAATTTACCAGGTTATTTATTTTTTAACTTTTTTTTTCAGTCTATTAATATAATCTCACAATTGCTGTGTATCAGGCAGAGGAGAAGAAATTCCTCACCACTCTGGCTAACCACCCAAGAGAATGGACATATACACTGAAGTCTGAGGTAGCAATCCTCATCCTCCACTTCCTCTGTTCCCCAAAAGAGAAGGAAAACTGAGAGCAGGGTGGTGCAGATGTCCAGGGCAGGGTAAGGAGAGGATCCAAAGGGGCAGCCGTCTCAGAAGAGCCGCCTAAGGCACTTCTTATGAGCAGAATATGTGATTCTCTTAGTAATTAATAAGCACTCAAGGCGCTGGAGCAATAGCACAGCGGGTAGGGCATTTGCCTTGCACGCGGCCGATCTGGGTTCAATTCCCAGCATCCCATATGGTCCCCTGAGCACTGCCAGGGGTAATTCCTGAGCGCAGAGCCAGGAGTAATCCCTGTGCATTGCCGGGTGTGACCCAAAAAGCAAAAAGAAATAAAAATAAAAAAATAAGCACTCAAGTTTCTTCTCCTCATTCTCCTTCTTCTTTCTCTTCTTCCTCCTCCTCCCCCACCTTACTTTTTTGGGGGGAAGGGTGGGTAGGAGACACACCCAGCAGTGCTCAGGGGCTATTTCTGGCTCTACCCATTAAGCTATCTCTTTTGTCCACCAGCATTTTCTTCTAATTTTCAAATACTGAGAGGAAGGAACTAGATCCATTCACATTAGGCCATCATTGCCCTGAAATTAGGAACCATCTCTTATTCAACATTGAGTTTCCAATGCCTAAGATTGAACTGGGTGGCATAGACACAAATACATTCATTTCTTTGTAAGGTCAAAACAACTTTTTAAGAATAAATTATTTCTAAATTTTACTTTCTTTAATGGTATCTTCCCCAAATATCTGCTTACCTGAGTAAGAACTTTATTAAGCATATCACAATGATGAGCATTAGGCCTACAAGAAAGGCAATACTCACAGCTGTAAAATTAAAAAAAAAGCACATTATTATCAAACATGTGAATTTGAGCAGTCAAAGCTGCACATCATGACACCTCTCTGCAAGTAAAAACTTTGGAAACAGCAACAATGATGCCTATATTCTTACCCTAAATTCCTGTAAACAATTGAGAATGCTTCAAGTAAGAAGTTATGTTTCAGCAAATAATAATAATAATAATTTCAAACAACAGTACATAAATTAATATATGCCCATCAAATGAATTCTACAATTATCAGGACATTGTCACTACCCTCTAGAGTCTGCATTGTTTTTGTCTGGAGACCCAGGTGGGCCTGCCAAGCAGTGCTCCGGGGCCTGAACCACGTGGCATGCAGCCAAGCAGGCCCAGCATCTCCATGCAAGGAACTGAGATATGGAGCTGCTCGGGCCCTGCAATGCCAGAGACTACTGGGCACCCAGCAGCACCTGGGGATTCCATTTTTTCCAATTACAGCATTTTAAGCAAATCCTAGCCTTCATGTCCTTTATTCTTTGCCTCTGTGTCTCTAAAGACTAGGCTTCAGAAAAGCCAAATCATCAACTCCTGACATGACCACTCAGAAAGGTATATGATTTCTGCAGCCAAAAATTCATGCCCGGGCTGGAGAGATAGCACAGCGGGTAGGACGTTTGCCTTGCACGCGGCCGACCCGGGTTCGATTCCCAGCATCCCATATGGTCCCCTGAGCACCGCCAGGAGTAACTCCTGAGTGCAAAGCCAGGAGTAACCCCTGTGCATCGCCAGGTGTGACCCAAAAAGCAAAAAAAAAAAAAAATTCATGCCCTCTCCCTGGTCACAAGAACACAAAACCCAGACTCAAAGTCTGGCTAGTCCTCTCATAAAGGACATCAGGAGAGACAAAGGCTGAGGGGACACTAGAAACTAAAAACATGGCAACTAAATGCCGAATGAGTTTCTGATTGGATTCTGACCCAGGAAAGGAACAACTAGAGAAATCTGAAAATCTTCAGATGAGATTATTGTATGAGCACGAAGCTACCAGTGTTAGTAACTTTATAAAATTGTCCACCATTATGTAGTTTAAAGGTATAGAGGAAGCAGGCTGAAGCGTACGTAGTAACTATTTTGCAAAGTTTCTATTAAAATATTGCAAACTTTTTAAGTTATTAAAAACAGACCTCCAGTTACATCACTACAATGTTATACAGAATAATAATCCTCCAGCTAACATTGAGTCCACATCCTAAATTTTCCAGTGGTCTGAGAAGTATTTTTGTAGTTCTTCAAGTAAGGATCCAAACAAGATTTGCATCTTACATTTACCCCGAGTGGTTCTTCAATCTCATTTAGCCATAAGTAGCCACTGGCTCTTTTATTTTTATAATGTATTGAATCAGCATGAAATTCAAAGTCACTGTTACCTATGACTGAGTTTCAGCCATATAATATCTGGCACCCGGCCCTTCACCAGTGTCCACTGTCCTCCACCCATGCCCAGGGCAGACACTTTTTCTTTTCTTTATCACTTTACCTCCTTTCCTTTTGGTGCCCATTTCCTGCCTACAGTGACCTCCTCTCCCTACCACTGTCATCATGATCCCTTCTCTGTCCTACTCCATCCCCTCACTGTGGCAAGCTGACTGCTAAGGATCCCGTTCTCCTGGCCTTCATTTTTATTGTCTTTAGGCATTATTTTCCTACCTTGTTTCTTTATATCCCATAAATGAGTTCAATCATTCCCTGTCCATCCCTACCCCTTTCATTACACTCAGTATGATACCCTTCAGATCCATCCATGTACCTGCAAAATTTCATGACTTCATCTTTTCTAAATGCTAGGTTTAGATATATAGATATGCCATTGTGTAGATGTATCATAGCTTCTCTCTCTACCCATCTGTTCTTGGGCAATTGGGTTGCTTCCGGATTTTGGCATTGTGAATGCAATGTACACAGGAGAGCATATGCCTTTTCTGTATTGTGTTTTGAGACCTTAGGGTTATATTCCCCAGAATGGAATTGCTGGGTTATATGGAAGCTCAATTCCTAGTTTATTGAGAAATTTCCACTTTCTCCTTAAAAAGTTCCACTTTCTCCTAAAGAAAGCTTCTTAGGTGTAACTGTATCCTGCCCACTGTGCTACCTCAGAAACGTCTCTGCCAGCAGGATGGTGTCCATGCGAATGCTGCACGGGGAAGCCTGGCCTTCCCCAAGGAAGGTCCTCTTTCATATCATGGTTTTGGGCTTTTCTTTTTGACCAAATGAATTATTAGGAGTTGAAAACAAAGCTAATACAATGCTTATACAAATGTTCTCTAAAGAACTTACCTTCATCAACTAGGACTATTTGATTAGCTAAAATAGAGCTAAAACAGGAAGGGAAGCCTAACATTCTTCTCTCAATGACGACTTACCCAAGTTATTATCAAATGCCTGTACTACCTCCAAAGGTACTGTTTTTGCCTGGAAAAAGGGACCTTGCTTGCCAGAATAACATGACAAATGCACTGGTTTTTGTATACTCAATATGGTTCCATTCATTACTATTTTTAATACCTAAATCATTCCATATTGGTGCTTCCATTTTGCTCTTCTTTTCTTTTGACATGACCCCACGGTCTTCAAGAGCTTTCCTGTGAACAGTACTTTCAAATTTCCCAGGGATTTTTGTATTACCAAATTTAGGCTCGGAGTAACATACTTTCTTAGCAGAGCTATTCAGGAATGAATAGGCCATTCTTAACCAGGGGAGCCTCTGGTCTATCAGGGTAAGACAGCCTCTGGTCTATCAGTGTAAGACATATAGCAAACGCTAATCCTAAAATCAGGAAAGATATCTGACACTCAATTGTTCTATTTCTAGTTTCTCCCCACTTAACTTTTTTGGCTTATTTATGCTTCATTTAATTATACTCAATAACAATTATGAGAAAAAGTAGAAACGTCATACAATTTTTTGTATATCATGTAATTTTCTTGGAATATAGAAAATATGTAATAAATGCATTTAAAATATAGCATAACAGATAGCTAAATTATAATCCAGTTTTTAAATTAAGATAATGCAGGAAATAGTACTCAAGCACTCAAGCTTTTGAAAAATGAAACAAAAAATATACGTACGAAGATCACTGTCAATCGGATTCTTATTGACCAGAAGATCACACACGATTTCGCTGGCATCATTATGGTCATGGGTGACCAAGAGAGAATAGTTTCCAAATTCTCCGAATTTGTATTCCAACCTACAAAGATTATGTGAAGTTAAGAAAAAGGGTTAGGGATGGAGCGATAGTACCGTGGGTAGGGCGCTTGCCTTGCATGCAGCTGACCCGGGTTTGATTCCCAGCATCCCATATGGTCCCCCGAGCACCGCCAGGAGTAATTCCTGAGTGCAGAGCCGGGAGTAACCCCTGTGCATCATCCGGTGTGACCCAAAAAGAAAAAAAAAAAAGAAAGAAAAAGGGTTAGATTAAGAAATTGAATTATGGGCCAGATACACAGTGCAGGAGGTAAACTTGCCTTGCTCGCAGTGAACCCAAGTCTGATCCCTGGCACCCCCTCTAGTCCCACCATAACCTGTGTACAGAGCCAGGAACAAGCCCTGAACACAGCAGGGTATGGCCCCAAACAAAACAACGAAAGGAAAAAGGAATTAAATGAGGAGTTAGATTTTAGTCATGTCACCAAGGCACAGTGATCTGCATTCTTTGAACAGAAAAGGAATATAGAGAAAAATATTTAAATACCTTCAAATATTTTAACATTTGAAAGCTATAATGCACACAGGAAAAAAATTAGAGAGCAAAGTCTACATTTGACCTGCTACAAACCTGCAAAGCTCTTTCCGTCCCAGAGTGTCATTAAGCTGCAGGAGGGATTTGTGCTGGGTGCTCACGGCCACGGCTGCAGTGCTCAGCTTCCCCGGCTTCCCGCTCCGGTAAACACTGGCCAGAACCTGAGGCAAGCACTAGAAAATACAAGCCCGAACACAGGGTCAGGGGGTCGCAGTCTGCTGGCTGTCAGAGGACACAGAGAGGACCTCATACAGCCTCCAGACTTCAGACCCCCAACTCTGGACACATCTTTTTAAATTAATTCATTAATTTGTTTTTATTATTTTAGTGTTTTTCATTTGTCCATTTTCTCCCCCACCTAGAAACAGAAGTTCCCACGTGCAGGGCTTAAAAGCCGAGAACACTGAGGAACACTTCGCACCAGTCCTAGAGCAAACAGAACCAGACGTACGCGGTGACAGCGTTCCGAGGTCCAGTAGACGGTCAGATTGGTCTTGGGCAGTTCATTCTGGATGAGCAGCAAAGCCTGGTCCATCTTCAGCTCCACGTGACTTTTTTTGTCTACATCTAAATGAGAATTAGAAAAAAATTTTTTTTCCTAAAAGGGCCAAAGGAAAAAGCAAAGCATCTGTCGGACAAGACTAAGACGGGGATACCAGTGTGTCTCCACAGACACGCTTCTCCACCACCTGTGCACAAAGGCCCAAACGTGCATGATCGTGCGTGCGTGCATGTGTGCGCGCGCACACACACATACACACACACTCACTCTCTCTCTCTGTCTCTGTCTCTGTCTCTCTCTCATGTGCAGGCACTCTCCCCTGTGCCTAAGTACCTCCTCATCTTCGTTGCCTAAAAGGCTGTGGAAGGCCTCCCGTTGGCGGCAGGCATGGCACTAGCAGCTCTGTATCTGTGCTGAGATGAGCCTCCTGAGCTGATTATGTTCTCCCTTTCACACATTAAGAACGTTCCCAAAGACTAGATGACTGCCCCAGCAGCTGGAGACAAGGACAGCACCCAGAACTTCCAAGTCTCTCATTTAATCTTATTTCCAACATCCATGTTGCTGATTTCTGCCTATCATAAAAATAGAAAAGATGCTCTGTGCATCTGAAAATGAATCTATCTGTTCTCTGATACAGTTCCTTTAGTATAGATTTCCAAGAGTGACGTTTCTCACCAAAAATAGATTTTTAAATAGCTTTTTGCACTTAGTGCCAAACTGCTGGGGATTTCAGTGTGCTGATTTGCAATGCCGATGGTGGCAATTCCCAGCTCTCAGGAGTCAGCTCAGAGGTCCGTGCTCCAGCTGTGGGTGGCTGCCTTCTTCTGCAGCCGGGGAAGCTGCAACTCTGTGCCCAAGGTCAGAAAGGTCACAGGTCAGCCTCCTGATTGACAGCTCGGCTCGCCAGCTCCAGGAGAAAGATTCTGTGGCCCTACCTGGCCCTTCCTGGCAGTCACAGATTACTCTTCATTTACTTTCTCTCTTTATCAACCAAGAAATGCATCAAAAATACCTGTGATTATTTTAGTTTTTAATTAAGAATTGGGCTGGAGCCACAGCACAGCGGGTAGGGCGTTTGCCTTGCACGAGGGCAATTCCTCCATCCCTCTCGGAGAGCCTGGCAAGGAACCAAGAGTATCCCGCCCACACGGCAGAGCCTGGTAATCTCCCCGTGGCATATTTGATATGCCAAAAACAGTAACAAGTGTCACAATGGAGACGTTACTGGTGCCCGCTTGAGCAAACAGATGAACAATGGGAGGATAGTGTTGCTACTACTAGTAATTAAGAATTACCAAGCTTGCATGTTTTCAAAATTATTTAGCATTAATATTTCCTTTTATAAGAATTATTGAGATGTTAACCCAAGGTGTCAGTATTCTTAGGTATTTATGCAGATTTTTTCCCGTTTTTGGTGGAAGGGAGGTAAGACATGGGCACGGTGGTGGGATTACTCATTACTCAGAAATTACTTCTGGCTGTGTCCAGGGTCACTTCCAATGGTGCTCAGGAGACCGTATGTGCTGGGGACCAAATCAAAAGACGTGAGTCATGTGTTGTCAGTGCGCAGTCTCTCGTGTGCAAAGCCTGTGCGTCAGTGCTAAGCACTCTCTCCCTCTCTCCCTCTGCAATTCCTTTACAGAGCACAGCTTCTAATTCTCTGTCCTAGGGGCTAGAAAGCTAGTAGTGGGTCAGGTCCTTGCCTTGAAGGCCACAGGTCTGTCTGGGTTAAATTCCTGGCACCCCAAGTGGTCCCGCCCAAACACTGCCAGGAAGGATTGCTGAGTGCATATCTGAGCACTGCTGGATATGGACACCCCCCCGCCCCAAAAATAATTCATTCTTTTTTTTGTACTTGTTAGATGTTTTTCATATTCTCGTTCAGTGTTGACCATTTTCTTTTTCAAATTTATAGCCCATGCACTGACCATTTCTTTGTGATTGTGCTATTTATCTATCCTCTTGGGCTGGAGCGATAGCACAGCGGGTAGGGCATTTGCCTTGCACGCAGCCAACATGGCCGACCTGAGTTCGATTCCTCCGCCCCTCTCGGAGACCGGCAAGCTACTGAGAGTATCTCGCCCGCACAGCAAAGCCTGGCAAGCTACCCGTGATGTATTCGATATGCCAAACACAGTAACAAGTCTCACGATGGAGACGTTACTGGGCCCGCTCGAGCAAATCAATGAACAATGGGAAGACCGTGACCATGATCTATCCTCTTAGTTACAATAACTATTTTTAATATTCATATTTCAGGATCTCTTCTGGGGCACACACCTTAGGTTGGTAGGCTGGTACTGCTCTGGGGACCAGGGATCAAACCCAATCTCTCGTATGCAAAGCATATGGTCCAGCCTATTATGTCATCCCTCTAACCCTCAATTTCTAAGTCTTCACTGATGGATGAAGTGAGCTTTTTCATTCATTCATTCATTCATTCATTCACGTGTGTGTGTGTGTGTGTGTGTGTGTGTGTGTGTGGTATTAGGAACAGAATCCAGGACAGAAATCCTACTGACAAAACAAGTATTCTAAAACTGAACTACGTCCCTGACGCACTTTCTTTACTGAGTAACACTGGCATATACGTATAGTGCTGTAGACTTAACTCGTGCCTTTTCATACCTCTTCCAAGAAAAAGCTGTCACATCACACCCACTGTAACCTCCTATCTGACCACCTCCACAATCCCCCTTTAGAAACTTCAGTACAAAGTTTAAATTCGGGATTTAAGCTTGGTTTATTGGTTTAGTCATGCTGTGTTTTATTTTCTATATGAATGAGATCTTCCAGTTGTCATTCTCATTCTTTTTGCTCAGCAAAACACCATCCAACACCACTCATGTGTTTAATAAACAGCAAAATTTCACATTCCCTAATGGCTGAACAGTATTTCACTGTGTATCTACATTCCATATTTCCTTTAGTCATTAATCACTGGGTATTTGGGTGATTATCATAACTTAAATGTAAAATTCTTTTTATACTGACATTTTCCCGGATGGAGCGATAGCACGTCAGTAGGGTGTTTGCGTTGCACGCGGCTGACCCAGCCGACCCGGGTTCGATTCCTCTGCCCCCCCTTGGAGAGCCTGGCAAGCTACCGAGAGTATTTTGCATGCACGCAAAGCCTGGGAAGCTACCCATGACGTATTCGATATGCCAAATACAGAAACAAGTCTCACAATAGAGACGTTACTGGGCCCACCAGAGCAAATTGATGAACAACGGGAGGACAGTGCTACAGTGCAGAGCTACTGACACTTTCCACTGGAATTTTAGATTTTGAAAGTCCCTAATTCCCAATATTACTATTTTATACAACGTATATGGACAGGCCATATCAATTCTGGCCAAACAGAATTACCTGGAAGCCAAAAAAATAAAATAAAATAACAAGCCTACCAATGCCCACAACATCAGTTAATTGGGTCTATGTCTCACCAGCGTAAGTTTTATATTTCCTCCAAAAACAACAACATCAAAACCTGCCAAGTGAGTCACTGCGCAGCCATCCCTAAGACAGCACAGGGCGCAATGAGCGGGAGCCTAAGGATTTCATGCCTTTAGGCTTCACCAAATCATTCCAACGTAACGATTTTTTTAAAATTCATATGCAAACAATACAATTCCTGAGCATCCAAAATGCCTAAAATGAACCTGATGCTGTTTCAGTAAAGAGCTGCCCGGCGTTAGGAACGCGAGGAGTGTGGGCCGTCCTCATGCTCCTGCCCTATCCCGGGGGCAGGGAGGAAAAGCCCCACCAGGACGCCCGGGGGCCAGACGCCCCTCGTGGCCCAGCTCTCTGCCCCTGAGCCTTTCAGCTGCTCCACTGAGCATCTCTGCCGAGAAGATTCTCGGCACATCAGGCACATCCCTGATTTTTTTTTTTTTGTATTCCTAGACTGTTCTCCTATGAAGGAGGCCTCCATCCCAGAGGGTAGGCAGGAGCAGGGCCGAGGCTCGCTGGGGTGGGCGCAGCTTCCCGAAGATTCCAGGAGGACCTGTAGAGGGCCCGGGCTGCCCCCTCCCCTAAAGCGGCATCTGTCTGCGGCCAGTGTGCTGTCCGTCCCTAGGCCTGTCCGCTAGGCGATGCAGAAGCTCCTCGTAGGGACGACCCCCGAGACCCTCCCGGGCCCCGCGACCCTCCGGGATGGCCCTGAACTGCCGCCGCTAAGCCTCCGGAATGGGGACCCTCCAGGCCCCCCGAGATTCTCCGGGACGCCGACACCCCTCGTGACCCTCTGAGGCCCTCCGACGCACCCGAAGTCCCTTCGAGGCCCCCCCCGAGACCCTCCGACGCACCCCCAACACCTCCGGAGACTCTCCGACACAACCCCAGACACCCGAGAGTCCCCGAAACCCTCCGACCCCCAACCCCGAGACCCTCCGACGTCCCCCGAGGCACCCCGGGGCGCCGCGACCGCACCCCTCAGTGCGGAGCCCTCGTCCCCGGGTCTCGGGGCGGCCCAGCGGGGACCCCAGTTTCCTGCCCCGGCAGCTCTGGGCGGCGGAGCGCCCCGGAGACCCACCCCGGGCCCCACGGCGACCCCTTCCTCGTAAGGCCCCGCCGCTGGGTCCAGGTTTCGCGCAGACTCCCCTCCCCACCCCCACCCCCCGCGGCAGGAGCCCCTCGGGCCACGGCCGCCGCGGGACTCACCTCGGGGCTGCGCGGCGTCGGCGTCCGGCTCGGGGGGCGCGCCCGGGGCCAGCAGCGAAGCGCTGAGCACGGACGCGGTGAGTAGCAGCGCGGCCAGCGGTCGACCCGGGGCCCACACGCCGCCCATGCCCGCCGCCGCCGGGGACGGCGCCGGGGACGGCGCCGGGGACGGCTCCAGGGATAGAGTCCAGGCCAAGACCGAAGGCAGCTCTGCTCCGATCAGCTCTGATCAGCTCTGCTCCGGCCGCGCTGCCCGTCTGCGCCGTCACCGCCGTCAGCCTGCGTCACCGCGGCCGCCCGCCCCGCCCCCGCCTTGCTCGCCCCGGCCCTCCCCGCCGCCCGCCCTGTCCGGCTCTGCCCGCCCCGGCCTTCCCCCCACCCCCCGCCCCGGTCCGCGGCCCCCGCCCGCCCCGGCCCTCCCCCCAACACCCCCCGCCCCCGCCTTCCCCTCGCCCGCCCCGCCCGGGCCAGCCCGCCCCGGCCCGCCTCGGCCCTCCCCTGCCCTCCGCCCCTCCCGCCTCCCCCGCCAACCCAGGCGAGTCTCCAGCCCCGGGCCCTGGGCTGCCGCCGCGAAGCCATACAGTCCTCAGCCCCGCCAGGCCTAGCCGGAAGGTCCAAGCGCCTGCAAGAGTCCCCGGCTGGAGGCCGCGGGCACTGCATGCCGCAAGGCCAGCCTGGACACTGGACACGAAGGGCCGGAAGGGCAGCGCGTGCAGCCGTGCCCACTGCAAGGGCCAGTGGGGAGAAGCCCGCCTGGAGGGAGTGTGCAGCCTGGGGTGGGCACGGACAGAGATCAGTGTCTCCGCGTGCATGGCGTGTTCGGGAAGGCTTCCAGAACTCTCTGGGCATTTTCCCGGAGAAGGGAGGCAGAAGGCTCCCATCAGGTGGAAGGACTTCTGCAGAGGTCCACGAAAGCGCTCTCAGGGGAGAATGCCGAGCCCCAGCTGCCTGCCCCAGCTGCCTGCCGCAGGATCCGTTTCCCAGGAACGTGGTGGGCTTCCTCCCGAGGGCAGTGCCCGGGGCCTCTTTCATCTGGGCCTGTTCTGGGGAGTCCTTTGGGTTTCAAAGCCGCTATGCTGAGACTATGTAGAAAAATGGAAAATTAAATTAAACAGCCTGACAGCATTCAGTAACTGCAGAAACAGCATGTGCTGAGAGCCACCGCGGAGCCTCACACTGCAGTTTAAGACTTGCCCACCGAGCAGATGGGCTGATGGACTAAGCACCAGGCCAGAATTTGTTAGAGCTCACTGCCGGGCCTGGTCCTTTGAGACTCCCCAAGGTGTGGTGGCACCCCTGGGGCTGCCTTAGTCCTGGAGCCAAGTCAGGTCTCCTGTTCTCCGAAAGAACACATTAGGGCCGAGGAACAATGCAGCGTGGACTACACCCGTGCCAGAGGCAGGCCCAGTCAATCCCCCCATCCCATATGATCCCCGAAGCACAGCAGAGCCTGAGTACCGAGCACAGGCGAATGTGCATGCCCCAAAATAAAGAATATACTTACATATACTTAATAAGATCATATGGAATTCCCAGATTCTAGCTAAGACAAAGAAAAAGGTGTGTCTAAATAAAGAGTTGGATTTTACTGTTATCAGCAGTTTTATTCTTTATAACCTCCAAACTGAAAATAGTCCAATGCATATCAGAGGTTGGATAGATAAATAGATTATGGTTCTTAAATATAATGGAATGCTTCTTGTTAATAAAAAATGTATGAACTACTAATAATAGCATGGATGTATACATTGTATATCTTGTATACAAAGCAAGAGAGATACCAAATGATGCATACTATAATATATGCTTTCATTTATATGAAACTCTAGGATAAAATTGTAATCTTGAAAAAGAAACCTAGGCCCAGAGAGAGAGAGAGTACAGTTGGTAGGGTGCTTGCCTTGGAGGTCGTTGACCCGGGTTTGATTCCTAGCATATAGTTTGCAGAGCACCACCAGGAGTGTTTTTTGAGTGCATGGCCAAGAATAATCAGCATCGCCAGGTGTGCCCCCCCCCCAAAAAAAAGAGGGAGAGAGAAAGGAAGGAAGGAGGGAGAGAAGGAGGAAAGTGGAAAGGAAGCAAGTAAGCAGCCATTACCTGGCATCAGTAGTGAGAGAAGAACTGGATGAGATGGGGTACATAGAAATTTCCAGGTGATAGAAATATTTTGTTTTTTATTTGTGGAGATGGTTACATGAGTATACAAATTATCAAATCTCATGAAAATGTTTACTTTAAATGGCTGCAGTTTATTATATATAAAGCAGTTATCCTCTTGGAAAATCAGAGATTAATTAGACAAAAGAACTAATACTATAGTGATTGGGCTGGAGCGATAGCACAGCGGGTAGAGCGTCTGCCTTGCACGCAGCCAACATGGCCGACCCGAGTTCGATTCCTCCGCCCCTCTCGGAGAGCCCAGCAAGCCACCGAGAGTATTCAATATGCCAGACACAGTAACAACAAAGTCTCCAATGGAGACGTTACTGGGCCCGCTGGAGCAAATCGATGATCAACGGGAGGGCATTATTATTCATTATTCACTATAATGATTCTGACAGATAAGGTCCTTATGTGCATACATTTTGACTGTCTTGATTGAGGAAAAGATAGGAGCAAGAGAAATAAAGTAACGTCTTACTGACGCAAAGGTTGGGGCAAGAGAGTGATTTAGCAATCAAAAGTGAGCACTTGTTTAGGAAGACACTGATAAGCAGACATTCTGAAAAATAAGAACTGATAAAAAATGGCTGGTTCAGAGCCCTTGCCACACCCACCCATACACACACATGAACAGCAACAGACAGAGGTGGAGATATAGGACTGAGGGGAAGGCATTGGCCTTGTAGGCAACCGGCTAGGGTTTGATCTCCGGCATCCCATGTGATCCCCTAAGCACCACAGAAGTAATTTCTGAGTGCAGAGACAGAGTAAGCCCTGTGAATTGCCAGCTGTGACACAAAAAGATCAGCAGGCTGAATCAACAGGCACTTCTGATGTTCTGATAGCATACCTCTATAATGCAGTGTCAGTTGGGGCATCCTTCCTAGATATGAACAGGTTCAACGCCATCCCTGTAAAAATACCAATGAAATGTTTTAAGAATAGGGGAAAAAAGACAATTTAAAAATTGTATGGAACCACAAAAGAACTCAAACGGCCAAAGCAATTCTGAGAGAAAAGAAGCAAAAAGGGAGAAAAGAAGCGTAAAGGAGGCATCAGGCTAGCTGAGTTCAGTCTATATATTGCAAAGTGATTAAAAACAGGCACACAAAAAATATAGAACAGATGGGTCGGAGCTAACAGACAGTGAGCAGGGTACTTGCCCTGCATGCAGCTGACCTGGATTCAATCCTTGGCACCCCCCCACCCCATAGTCCCCCAAGCCTTCCAGAAATAATCCCTGAGCAGGGAGCCAGGAGTAAGCCCTGAGCATCATGGAGTGTGGATCAAAAACAAAAATAAAATAAATAGAAATAACAGCGGTAGGGCGTTCGCCTTACAAGCGGCCAACATGGCCGACCCGAGTTCGATTCCTCCGCCCCTCTCGAAGAGCCCGGCAAGCTACCGAGAGTATTCGATATGCCAGACACAGTAACAACAAAGTCTCCAATGGAGACGTTACTGGGCCCGCTCGAGCAAATCGATGATCAACGGGAGGGCCTTTACTTTTTACTTACTTAAATGCACACATTTAGGACCATGTAATCTATAATAACAAAGTCAAGTCCACAAAAGAGATGCTTCTTCCACAAAGGTTGCTGGGAAAACTGGATAGTCACACACGAAAAATAAATTTGGAAAAGAAAGATGGCGGCCGCACGGGAGCCTTGTGGAAAGCGGGTTTGAGCCGGGCTCGGGGGAGCGGCGGGGACCTCATGGGAAGGGGGGCTTTGTGGGCCGTCCCCCACGCCCCACCGGGGTCGCCAGCTGCCCCCCACGAGCGGCTCTCCGGCACGGCCACGGCCCCGGAGGCACAAGGGCTTAGCACAGAGAACCAGCCGCTTGGAGCAGAAAAGCAAATGGACTTGTGTTGATCCGCGCCACCAAGCTGCCCGGAGGGGGAAGGGCGTTGACCGGCCCACCCGCTCCTCTCTGGAAAGAAAGATGGCGGCCGCACGGGAGCCTTGTGGAAAGCGGGTTTGAGCCGGGCTCGGGGGAGCAGCGGGGACCTCATGGGAAGGGGGGCTTTGTGGGCCGTCCCCCACGCCCCACCGGGGTCGCCAGCTGCCCCCCACGAGCGGCTCTCCAGCACGGCCACGGCCCCAGAGGCACAAGGACTTAGCACAGAGAACCAGCCGCTTGGAGCAGAAAAGCAAATGGACTTGTGTTGATCCGCGCCACCAAGCTGCCCGGAGGGGGAAGGGCGTTGACCAGCCCGCCCGCTCCTCTCTGGAAAGAAAGATGGCGGCCGCACGGGAGCCTTGTGGAAAGCGGGTTTGAGCCGGGCTCGGGGGAGCGGCGGGGACCTCATGGGAAGGGGGGCTTTGTGGGCCGTCCCCCACGCCCCACCGAGGTCGCCAGCTGCCCCCCACGAGCGGCTCTCCGGCACGGCCACGGCCCCAGAGGCACAAGGACTTAGCACAGAGAACCAGCTGCTTGGAGCAGAAAAGCAAATGGACTTGTGTTGATCCGCGCCACCAAGCCTGCCCGGAGGGGGAAGGGCGTTGACCGGCCCGCCCGCTCCTCTCTGGAAAGAAAGATGGCGGCCGCACGGGAGCCTTGTGGAAAGCGGGTTTGAGCCGGGCTCGGGGGAGCGGCGGGGACCTCATGGGAAGGGGGGCTTTGTGGGCCGTCCCCCACGCCCCACCGGGGTCGCCAGCTGCCCCCCACGAGCGGCTCTCCGGCACGGCCACGGCCCCGGAGGCACAAGGACTTAGCACAGAGAACCAGCCGCTTGGAGCAGAAAAGCAAATGGACTTGTGTTGATCCGCGCCACCAAGCTGCCCGGAGGGGGAAGGGCGTTGACCAGCCCGCCCGCTCCTCTCTGGAAAGAAAGATGGCGGCCGCACGGGAGCCTTGTGGAAAGCGGGTTTGAGCCGGGCTCGGGGGAGCGGCGGGGACCTCATGGGAAGGGGGGCTTTGTGGGCCGTCCCCCACGCCCCACCGGGGTCGCCAGCTGCCCCCCACGAGCGGCTCTCCAGCACGGCCACGGCC